TTATGCACAACCTATAAATAAATTTCAGTTGTCGTAGAATTCTAGATATTATTGTGAACAGTTGTTTTCAAATCCCTAAAAGTTCAGTGTACCTGCAATGCTGCTAGAAAAAAGGCATTAAACAATTTGGTGTAGAGTGGTTATGTAAGAGAACCTGTGTATTGTGGAGCTCTTTTTGAAACAGAGCTTCAGAGATTTCATTGTTATCGGAAAATTGAAAACCTGTGTCAGCTGAGCCTTACTGGCAGTATCCATTGCATAACTGTATGAAATGTGTTTAACATGTAAAAATGTATTTAAAAACCCAGAGAAGAACCAGAAAACTAGGTACCTTATTTATATCTATATGTACAGGTATCTTACCACAGAAAATCCTGGTATATTGATCAATGCTGTCTTAAGTCAGATATAACAATTTTTTTTTTAGGAAGGAGGAAGGGGGACCAAAATTGTTTTCCTTTTTTGTATTAAATGTTAATTTAACCAGAAATATAATCGACGTGTACAGAAAACTAAAGAAGTAGATGTTGTAAAGGACATTTTGTAGAGTTTCTGTATAGAGTATTTGTTGTGCCATGAATCGATCCGGTATAAATCTTGACAAATGGCTGTTTAGATTGCTCAGTGATTATGCCACATTACTCGGGTCAGCGACTGTGACCCGCCTGATCCAATACACCAACAAGTCACAAGAAACCTGGCTCAGAGTTATGATTTACGACCAATGTTCCTCAGTCTTCTGTCTTATCTCACGGTAACCTCAGACGGGTGTTTTGTTTTCTGGTGTTAACGAGGTTTACCTGTAGGAGATCTACCTGTGTCAGCTTAAATGTCCATGTTAGCAAGTGGAGATGGGATCTTCAACACGTTGGAGATAACGTTATCATTCTGAACACCTCACTAATGCTTTTTGGAATTTTTGGATATATCTGTCGGAAACATCGTCAGCTATGATAGATGACGGACGTACATCTGAAAGAAGATTGTGTTTCAGTGTCACGTCATTGTGATAAATTAATACCATGTGAAATTTTCCTGATTGGGATATAGATTTTTTTGGATGGACAAGCACAGGAAAGGCAACGAAATATTATATAATTTTGTTATTTGCCAATCTTAATGTGGTATGTATGTATAGATAGATCAGTGAGTCAGGAAAAAGTTTGAGAGAGGACTATTTTTATTACAAATATTATATAATATGTTATAAGATCTGAATTTTAAGTAGCACCACATAACAGTTATGAATAATTACTCAAGTTTAATATCAGAATTGATGAATCAACTTTCAAGGTGAAGGTCAAAGAGTTAATTAATGACATTACAATTTTGCTCTCTATGCTTTAGTGTATATCTGGTGTGACATTTCAAAAATCAAATTTCAACTGTTTCATCGCGGTACCAGTAATCAATTAATCTTTCTGTAGAAAATCTTTTTTTCTTTTTTTTTTTTGAATCTGACCCCAAAAAAGTACCTGCACACTATACCCGAGTGCGCACTATACCCGCAAATTTACGGTAATTAATTTCTAATTGATAGGGGGATTTTAACTGTGATTTTAAACATTGAATAGGGATTAAATTTGGAAATGTTTCTTTAGGATGTAGTGTATTCAGTATGATTTGATAAAGATTTTTACCACTGAAATTCCTCCAGTATTCAGTCCCAGTATATTGTACAATATCGTATTCAGAATTTACTTAAGTCATGTTGTTTACACTTCCTTTATGGAATTAAAAACAATTTTTTTTTTCTCTTTTTGAATTGTGAATTAAATCCATACAGGTGTTTGTAATTGATCGTATTCTGATAGTCAATAGCTATCTATATTACAAGGTATCTATGTGTATATTATAAAATTGGTCTACATATTTATTTCCTGTAACACACATAGATATTAATGTATTTATGTAAGGAGATATTTCAATAGCCTTTACGTTATGAGATAATCTACGACCAGGTTTACAGGACTGATATGATTTTGTTTGATATCCATATGACTATTAACTAAAGTCAGTATGACAGCTGCCGGGGCAGAGCACCTGCATATTACACCTACGATGCAAAGACTTAATTAACTTTTATCAGCTTCAATGGTTCATGTTCGACACAGTTTTAAAATTGATGTCCCTTGTTCATTGATAAAGTCATTCAATATTTGTTTGGGAAAGATAAAGTAATTTTGGTCAATTTCTTAACCCCACCTATAAAAAGGAATTAATCTTTACCTATATACAATTGTGTATAGCAACGCTTACCTGTCAAACGGACAGCTATTGACTCTACTTCAATAATGTTGACCATCTGATTTAGTCCAAATTTTATAAAGTATTTATGGACGTTGAAAAAGATTTCAATACAAGACAAGGTTTTATATGTACATAAACGAGGACAATACGTCCCCTACGGTGTATGTTGAAGACAGAGAAGTATAGACTTTGTTTACCTGGCGACTTTAAACTCGCTTTGATTTCAATTGTTGTCAAAAATCAACAAATCTAAAAACAAACCAAATAAATATACAAACAAAGTATTGTGGGCGAAGTGAAACCGTTTGTCATACACGGTAGAGAAATGTTTTACTTTCAGTGTATGCTACATTAACCTGGCCTGTTCTGATTACTTTAAAACAACCTAGCATTTCACAATTACCTGACAACGCTATCTGAGGCAATGATTTATTAATTTCTTGTAGCGGGATACTGTTTTGTGATATTTTTTTTTATTTTGAAAATAAAATACTGCAGTCTCATATCACTCTAACTATTTGATACAATACAAGCTTAATCCCAATAATATTCCCTACAAAAAAATAATTAAATTAATATAATCCTGTCCTTCATCCATTACACTTAAAAACCTTTAGTTTCCATAGATTATAACAAGCTACAGGATAATTTAATAGAAGGATTAATGGAGATTGTGTAAAAGTGAGTGATAGTGAAAGACTACATTCAGTGGTACTAGCTGTATACCTGGTGATAACCACACTCCATGCCTTAATGACGTGATATGTGGGTCATGGTTTTATAGGATATATGGACATATAGCTAATGGAAGAAAATTGATTTTATAGAATATATAAGTATCCAAAGAATTTTCTTAATTCTCCCTGTATCTAATTCCTCTTCTTCTGGTCTCGATGTTGTTAAATCATCAAATATTTGTTTTGTTGTAGGTAAAATTAAATTTGTTGTATCCTTTCAAAAGCAGTTTTTATACAATTCAATAAAAAAAAACTGGTAAAATAACTAATATAAACTCAGATAAAGCAGAGATGTAGAATGGGAGGGAGGGGCGGAGCTACTCTATCCCTACCCCCACCCCCAGGGAGGGAGGGAGGGGCGGAGCTACTCTATCCCTACCCCCACCCCCAGGGAGGAAGGGGCGGAGCTACTCTATCCCTACCCCCACCCCCAGGGAGGAAGGGGCGGGTCTACTCTATCCCTGCCCCCACCCCCAAGGAGGGAGGGGCGGAGCTACTCTATCCCTGCCCCCACCCCCAGGGAGGAAGGGGCGGAGCTACTCTATCCCTGCCCCCACCCCCAGGGAGGAAGGGGCGGGTCTACTCTATCCCTGCCCCCACCCCCAGGGAGGGAGGGGCGGAGCTACTCTATCCCTACCCCCACCCCCAGGGAGGGAGGGGCGGGGCTACTCTATCCCTACCCCCACCCCCAGGGAGGGAGGGGCGGAGCTACTCTATCCCTACCCCCACCCCCAGGGAGGGAGGGGCGGGGCTACTCTATCCCTACCCCCACCCCCTATCCCAACCCCCACCCCCACCTGTCTGGATTTGACACTGGTTGATGAAGCAATAACAACAAAAGTATAGGTAATAGCTTCTGAAGTAGATTGTTTAAATTTCAAACAGCACTTGACCTGTGATATGTATATACACTGGAAACATTCAAGCTGGGTGTTAGAGCTAATTGAACTTTTGTAAATTTCTAACTAATCAGGGTACTAGATACTTTGATCTGTGTAAATCAATTTGACATCTCAAGTTACAAGTTTATGTCATGTTTCCAAAGTTATCTGCAGCTAATGTAGGGTTTGTAATACAACAAAGCAAATATTTACTGATATTACACTTTTGGCTAATCAGGGTGCTAGATACTTTGACCTGTGTAATTCTTCACTTATCTCCCCTTGTAATGTCAACAGAGGCAGATTTAAGAAAAAGTGTTATTTCAAATGTTTTTTTCAATGATAAAATTTGTTAACAAACTAAAAAAGAAATTTTATATAGTCAATATTTCATTATAAATTCATACTTTGTTGTTTTTACATGTAGTAGTGACAGTCCAGTATAAGTAGGTTTAGGAGTTACACAACAATCTATATTAGTTACAATTACCGGGTTATTATTCAAAATTATAGACGTGATAACAGGTTGGGTTAGTGAGAATGGAGGTATCGCAGGGTTAGAGTTTAGCTATGAAAATGAAGATGAATACCGGGCTTGTTAACTTTAATACAGGTGAATAGAAAAATTCTGAGTCCGAATAAGAAAACTCAAAAACTGAAATATTTTGACCTTTATTAATGCTATGGTAGGTTGATCATTTCTTTGTAGGAATCCTCTTAGCAAGGGCAGACTACAGTTGTATAGGTAATCAGTGTCAGAACTGAAAACGTGTTGAATTAATGAAATCCATTTTCAGCAAGAAGAGACGCCTGCTGTGGTAGTGATAGAAGCGTTAGCCATGAAGGTTTGGATTGTACTAGCAGATGTGTTTTTCTAACAGTCAGATGTAATTAGTCTGAGATGTGACAAGGAAATTGATGTACTGTAGTTTGTTGTTGACTCGCAGCTTTTGGAGTACAACATGGATGTAACGTAAAAATTTAAGGAAACTCTGAACAGCATTGAGGCTAGATGCTATTTGGAATGTTAGAAGAAATAAGATGATTTTTGATGCGTAAATTTTATGAAGATAATTGACTTAACAATCAAAGAAAAATAGCGAGAATTAATCACCGGGACACGGAAAGTAAAATGGTTGCCATCAACAGTCATTTTTCTGCTGACCAGTTTCCGTTACTGCCTAAACCAACCTATCAGCCGGGATCCTTTGATCCTATAGAAGATCATAAGACAACACGACCAAAAGGGTCAAGTATTCTACATAGACAATTGAAACGCCTTCAACGCCAACACTCTGTTGTCCTGTCAAAGGTTGACAAAGAGGAGAAACGAGAGCGATTAAGTCGTCATCCTGATGAAGATAAAAAACATGGTCAGAAAGATGGCTACAGAAGGTTTGATGATGATAGAAAGGCCCACCGAAGGGTCGTATTAAAACGACAGAAAAGTTTTCAGTCAAGTTGTACAAAACTTCCTGATATAAATAATGACAAGGAAGAAATATTTCGTCGCCATAGTGTTGCATCGCTGACCAGTGACGGAAGGGATGATCGTAGTGTATATCTGAGGCACCAAAGTGTGCAATCTAAATATAGCGATGAATCAGATGACCCTATTGGAATTCGCTTCTACCGTAACGCACATTCTAAATATAGTGATGAAAGGGATAATCAACTTAGTCGAAGTTTACAATCAAAATACAGTAACCAAAGGGAGAACCGCCTAGGAAATCATCATTTCCGTGGTGTATATTCTAAACACAGTGACGAAACAGATGAACACATTGGATATCACAAGATCAGAAGTTTCAGCTCAAAATTCGGTGAAGAAAGAAATCACCATTTTGGAAATCATCCTTTGAGAACTGTTTATTCTAAATATAGCGATGATAGGGATGATCGTAAACTTCATCATCATAGAACATTTTCTAAACATAGTTATGACTCAGATCATCATAGAACAGTGCATTCTGGGTACACATCTGATGGTGCTAATTATGAAAACAAACTGCCACTTATTCACCCTGGAAAAAACAAGGATCTGGATAGGTTTCGACAACATGACGAAAGTAAAAATTCTAAATATGGAGAAAAACTTCAGGAAGGAAATAGTGATACACCATTTAAAAACACAGATGATACAGATCAAAACAAAGACTATTTTCGACTTGTTCAACAACGATTTGGCCGACAACAAAGACGTCGTCCCAGAGCCTTGCTTCTCCAACGTTCCAAAGAAAAGCGACGTCATTGTCGGAACGTGTTCTTGAAATACAGTGCAGACCTTGAGGACCGTCAAAGATTGAGACGTCTTGGGTCTGGCCTTCTGCCACCAGTTGTTGTAGACAGCCATATACTTACACATATGCTGGTAAGGTCCCTTATATAGACATTGATATGATATGTTAAGACATCCTAAACCAGAATTTTTCATTTAGCCATTGATAAAAGTGGAAAAAAAGTGAAGAAAACTATATTCTATGCTACAAATTCACACCAGGGGATTTTCGTTACAGTAATAATTATCATAACTTTAGAATGCATATCTTCCACAAAAATCCAATTTATTTGTATATGTGAAAGAGAGAGCCCAATAACCCCCACCCCCACCTGCCTGTTACCTGCCTGTCGTACCTTAATATGCACGACTGGAAAATACATCCGTCTTTAACAATGGCACTGAAGAAATTCATTTAATGAATTTTCAGGGTAATATAGACAAATGGACTGGACAACAGGCAGATAGCCCATAGAAGTCCTCTCCAGAAGTATGAATCAGTGATATGAAGATATGTTGACATATAATTGATTTCATTTGTGTGTGAAGTTATATGTTATCAGGGGGTTATATAATGGTGAGTTGGACTTTAACCTAACAAAACATGGTTTAGTGTTGAGTTTTATGTTATCAGAGGGTTATATAATGGTGAGTTGGATTTAAACCTAACAAAACATGGTTTAGTGTTGAGTTTTATGCTATCAGAGGGTTATATAATGGTGAGTTGGACTTTAACCTAACAAAAAATGGTTTAGTGTTGAGTTTTATGTTATCAGAGGGTTATATAATGGTGAGTTGGACTTTAACCTAACAAAACATGGTTTAGTGTTGAGTTTTATGTTATCAGAGGGTTATATAATGGTGAGTTGGACTTTAACCTAACAAAACATGGTTTAGTGTTGAGTTTTATGTTATCAGAGGGTTATATAATGATGAGTTGGACTTAAACCTAACAAAAAATGGTTTAGTGTTGAGTTTTATGTTATCAGAGGGTTATATAATGGTGAGTTGGATTTAAACCTAACAAAACATGGTTTAGTGTTGAGTTTTATGTTATCAGAGGGTTATATAATGGTGAGTTGGACTTAAACCTAACAAAAAAAAATGGTTTAGTGTTGAGTTTTATGCTATCAGAGGGTTATATAATGGTGAGTTGGACTTAAACCTAACAAAACAAAAAATGGTTTAGTGTGAGGAAAATGTTAGACTGCTTTCCAGGTGTCACAGTTGCAGTCTTCCCAGCTGTAGCAATGGGTATGCACTATCTGAAAATTGGGAAGTAATTTTGAGAAGGACTGGTGTCCTAGTTCTGGGAATTCAGAATGACTCTATGAAATGACTCAACAAGAACACAAAGTACACTATAGATAGACAAAGACATTGAAAAGGAGTCGTTTTTATGGGTACTTTATGTGTAAACATTTATGAAATGTAATTGTATCTATAGTATCTTGATTTTAAATATGCTGACTTTTCAACAATGAGGACAAAACTCACTTAATACTGATTTATGACAGAGAAAAAAAATTGTTTTGACTCTGCATATTTAGAATTATCCACCATACATAATTTGGTAATATTATAAGATGGTTCTAGGTACAAAGTGCTTTGAATGTTTTTAATTTTTCTGTTATGAATGTTATGAATGTAGTTATTAAAATTGGTTATAAGTTCTTAGGTCTGCATTATGGATCGATTAACCGGTATTATAGTAATGAATTAGGGACATTCAGCTTTAAATTATACGTGTGATAACGGTCATACAGACAGGTACACAGGATAATTTTGTAATGATATCATAATTATGGACAGATGTTTACACAAACATGATGGTGTGTCATGTTATCCTTGACTGGTGGTGTATATGTAGACTTGTATACTTATGTATGATAATTTATTCTGACACACAAATCAAATTATTGTTAAGATACATCATTTAAAAGAAAACGAAAAGTTCTTGATATCATTTCCAAAAGTTAGTAGATATATTAATTTTTTGGGTTTTAACATTTTGAATATCTCTGACTGGATAGAACTCTGTTTGAGGATTTAACTTTCTAACTTTTAATTCTGGATCCCATTTTCAGATTGATAGAAAGAAAATAAGATATTGATGTATAAATGAAAATTCCGTAAACATTTGAGCATGTAATTATCACTTGAATGTCTGTAAAACTATTTGCTTTTTCATCTCTTTTAGAGATAATTGCGGGCAATATTTAGTTTCTTTGACCGTTTTGTTGCACACCTCTAGTTGTAGTAGTCCCCATGTCCAGAGTATCAGATTGTCCATTTTTCATTGTCAGTCTATTAATCCCATTTTATAGTAAAGCCTGCTTCACATACAATAATGACTTTGACAGCTGATTTTTCAGTTTTTATTTTCTCACTTTTTAAAAATTCAAATCCTGAACAATTTATGAGACAAACATTTTTATTGGACAATATTGACATAACTTTGTAACGCTTCATTTGTTTGGCCAATGCAGCAGTGTAAGGAGTTATCAATGAAAATTGTTGATTATAAATGTCAAAAATTTTGCAAATAACTTTCAATACTTTTTATGTTATTGAGTCATAACATAAAATATGAATTGTACCCTAGATATACAGCAATCTTTTGGAGGTTTTATAAACAGTAATGTGATAGAATGGAACAAAAAATGTTACTTCCTGGCAACTTTAGAAGCTGGGTTTAATATGATAATTTTTTAATATATATTTTTCTTTTTTTTTTTTTTTGGGGGGGCAATTTTATTACATCCTTGACAATAGCTAGAAATAGAATCCCTCATAAACAACAATCTGTATAGTCATTACAAGTACCAGTAGATCATAACACTGTGATCTACACATGTGATAATATCTGGGCATACTTACCTTTGAATGAATTTGATCGCTATAAATGAATATTTCAGTTAATATTGACCTTGACAGGGGATGATGGTGGGATATTTAGGGAAATGACTAATATATCAACAAAAACAAACATTAATTAAAAATGTAGTGGCTTCATATCAATAGTCAACAAAGGCAAATTAATACATATCCAATATGTATGTATTTTTTTGTAAAAATGTTCATCATTTCATTTTATGAGGCAAAATTACACAGTTTTGATACATACATGTACATGCATGTCTATGTTTAGAAAAAGGGAAAGTAAAAAAATCTATTTCCATCTTGATTTTGGGACTTTGTGTACAAAAAAAAATATTTGCTTTCTCAACAGCGGTAACTTTGATTTAAAGAATACATGTTACCTTTTCATTCTGTCTTTATAAAAATTAAGTCAACATTACAGGTATTTTAAGGAAAATTAATCAACAAGAGTTTGTTTGAGTTCCATGTCCTGGACTGTACTTGAAGGAAGTATGCTTTTTCACCTGTATATATTGTCTATTTAAAGGGACATTTATCTTACTTACCTGTAGTGAAAGCTTTCAGACCCTCTATATTCCACAAAGATGTGTAGACTTCGTTGAAAACAAATTTCACTTTTAAGTGGTCAATTTCTGGACAATAGCGATAATGAATAAATGTTCATTAATTGAAAGTGTAAACGTCTAAACAGCTTGAACCTCCGGGCTCTGTTTATTTCAAGTTTAGTTAGCTTTACAGACATTTTGTCATAAAAGATATTTCAAGATATTATCTTTGATTTGAAATTTTGATACCAGAAAAACAATAAAAATTAAAGAAAACCTGACGAAAAGAAGTTAATTAATGTTCATTTCCCAAATAATTCTTTAAATTTGTTTTGTATGCTATTTTTTTTTATTTTAAAAGAAACTGACTGGTGTTTGACATGACTTTAAGACCTTGTTGCTTGAATTTGACGTCATTCAACGTTGATTGCTTCAGAACAACATTAGCTATATATGTTACCAGAGGAAGCAGTCATCATTTTGGTGATAAGTTCTGTGTGGATCAAACCATTATCATAGTCATTACTGACATGTGTTTCTATGGAAATCTAAACACAAATATAGGGGAAAACTTCTCCCCATGGACTTTAATATTGCTGTAAAGGATGAAAGTTTGTGTTCAAAAAGTTGTGATTGAATTCTGAGGGGACAATTTTTATTTCTGTAATATGTTGAAAATACTACAGCTGGAGTGTCTTGGAAACCGTTTCCAGAAAATTGTTCATTCATCAAGGAGGAAAAGTCTGATAGTGTGAATATTGTTTATAATTGTGTAACCATGTGTAAACTATGTGTAGCCATGGCAACAAACAAAATGGTCACTTAAGTAACAAAGCTTAAAGTTTATGAAGTAAGGACTTTGAAACATTTCACTTCTTTTTATGACTTATATGTTCAATATTTAAACTTATGAAAGCAATCTGAATTTAATCAATTCAATAAAGAAAATGCCTTATTAAGTTTAGTAAACTTATTGATTTTTTCAAAATCAATCTGGAGCTTCAACTTTTTGAAAATTTACCTCGTGTTTTGAATTTTAACTTACACAGGTAGTGAATATAAAATATTGATAATGAATTAAGATACAAAAGCTGATTCATAAGCTGGAGATGTTCTTTTGGAAGTGATAAGGAGTGACATCAAGCCAAAATGTATTACCGTGATCTGAGAATTGGAAAGTTCCCTCCTGGGGATCTAACTTATGCGAAAGCACGCGTTTATAGACGTCATGTGATCATCCTCAAAATTATAAGGTCACAAGCAAAACTAAGAGTAAGTTACATTTATTTAAAGTTTTTGAGAATTTCTGAAGTTTGTCAACTATTTCAGTGTCTACATTTCAGTTCAACACCATTAGATTTTGGACTTGTGAAGTCATATTTTTACCATGATCTGTCTGTCTATAAGTTTACTGTAGGATTTTTTTTGAAACTTCATGGACAAGTTCAGTGTAGGTCTGATGCTAAGTTTTTAATTCAAAATGGTTACCTTTTTGTGTCATCAAAGAAACCATTAATCTGGGACTTTCAATAAAGTTGTAAAGCCTTTGACTTTAGTCAGTAAATAAAATATAAGTATTTAAAGTAATATTTAAAAAGTCCCAGTTGGAGATATCTATTTGGGATGGAAGCTATAAAAACATGCAACACTGACAGTCTAAACTGACTCCAAATGTCAGCCAGGAATACACAATTTTGAAAACTCTTGTCGGTCTGTGCAAATCACTTACTTATGTACATATTGTCTTGAATCACCAGTGTTTTTGGACAAATTATCATTTTAGATGACTTTGATCACTAAACAGAGATCAAGTGTCTTGCAAGGGTTTATGTTCTGGGTGTTCACTGTTGTCCTGGGAGGTCACTGTTGTACTGGGATGTCACTGTTGTCCTGGGCAGACACTGCTGTACTGGGATGTCACTGTTGTCCAGGGATATCACTGTTGTCCTTGGAGGTCACTGTTGTCCTGAGCGGTCATTGTTGTACTGGGCGGACACCGTTGTACTGGGAGGTCACTGTTGTCCTGAGATGTCACCATTGTACTGGGATGTCACTGTTGTACTGGGAGGTCATTGTTGTCATGGATGGTCACTGTTGTCATGGGAGGTCTCTGTTGTCCTGGGATGTCACCATTGTACTGGGATATCACTTTTGTCCTAGGATGTAACTGTTGTCCTGAGCGGTCATTGTTGTACTGGGAGGTCACTGTTGTCCAGGGATATCACTGTTGTCCTTGGAGGTCACTGTTGTCCTGAGCGGTCATTGTTGTACTGGGCGGACACTGTTGTCCTGAGATGTCTTTTGACTCAAAAATCACATGTCTTGAGAGATCTCATGATTTGGTAGGTCAGATGTCTTCACATGTCTTGAGAGATCACATGACTTTACATATCATACATGTATGTCTTAATAGGTTACACATTTTGAGAAATCACATGATAAATCACATGACTGGAGAGATCATATGTATTAATAGATCACTTGTCTTGATAGGTCTTGAGAGATCACATTATTTGATAAGTCACATGACTTGAGAGATCACATGATTTGATAGGTCACATGACCTGAGAGATCACATGATTTGATAGGTCACTTGTCTTGAGGTGTCACATGTGTGTGGAGATCAGTTGATTTGATTGGTCACTTGTCTCGAGTGGTCAAATGTCTATTAGATCTCATGACTTGAGAGATCACATGATTTGATAGGTCACTTGTCTTGAGGTGTCACATGTGTGTAGAGATCAGCTGATTTGATTGGTCACTTGTCTCGAGTGGTCACATGTCTGTGAGATCACATGACTTAATAGATCACATGATTTGATAGGTCACTTGTCTTGAGGTGTCACATGTGTGTAGAGATCAGTTGATTTGATTGGTCACTTGTCTTGAGTGGTCACATGTCTGTGAGATCACATGACTTGATAGATCACTTGTCTTGAAGGATCATATATCCTAAAACATCATATGTTTAAGACATTTTGCTTGAAGAATTATGTATTTAATATCAAATCTACAGAATATATTCTTTATTGGTATATATTGTTACATTTCATAAAACCTCGTGTCTGGTGTTATGATTACATGTAGCTGGTATCACAGCTTGATCACCATGTAGATTTAGATCTGTCACTTCTAGATATATTTTGATCTTTTATTGTCCACTTGTTTTATAGTCATTGCTTGATGGACAGAAGAAAAAAGTCTTACTGGACACAGATTTTATCGATGACAAGTCCTCTGAACATTCTGGATCATTCAAGGGCAAGGCCAGGAGGTCAAAGGGCAGCAAGAGCAGAAGTAAGTTTTGAAAGAAAGACATTTGTGTGTCTGATATATAATATAGTATGTTTGAAATACTTCATTAAGATAACTGTATTTTTTAAAAATTTTTATCTATATTAGGTTTCCTGGCCCCACCTTTAACCTGTGTTAAAAGTTCCTGGATGCCTTGCTTACATTCTATGAAATATTTGACTCCCTTGTATAAATCTTTCACCTTTTAACGTCTTGTGTTTTCAGAGTCTCTGTCGTCATCTCGGGATGAAAAAGAATATGTTGGAAATGTACCGGTTGTCTCAATGCGTGCAGGAGAATCTTCTCCTACCACACTTCCACACATCTCTGGAACCCTGCCTCTGCCACCTATCGGGGAAGCCAGCCGTGAACAGACCAATATTCCACCTGTAGTGCTGCCACCTATTGGCACTGAAGCAGGTAAGACAACTCTGTGATAGTGAAATTTGTATGATTAAGATACAGGTCTACATTGTAGAACATTCTTTTTTGTTTTTGCTTTTTTCAATGTTTCTTATTATAGAAAATTATTACCTGCTGTATATTATGTCCTGTGTGTTTGGAAGGCATTTTTATATTTGTTTCATATAAAAGCGAACCGCTGTATGCAATTATCTTAAAAGAAAAAAACACAAAAATTAGTGGGGATATTCTGTAATTTATGACTTAAATGGTATCCATAGAAACAGCTGTTATTTGATATCCTACATTATACTTATTTTTCAGTTGTCAATCCAATTGAAATGAATTGATGAGATTAAAATCAATTTTTTTATTTAAATTTTGCTAAAGGATAGATTTAGGAAGAACGTTTATATGTTTGAGGAATTCAATGCAAATATGAAGGTGCCTTAAGAGACGTGCCTTAAGAGACATGCCTTTAGAGACATGCCTTAAGAGACATGCCTTTAGAGACATGCCTTAAGAGACATGCCCTTTTTAATTGTTGGTTGTTGTATGAGAGCAGGCTTTGGTAATGGGAACACTAAACTGGCTTATAAACATGCTGACTTTTGTTATATAATGGTAACTGTAACCATAAACCTGGGTATAGATGGATTACCCAAACCTTGTTATAGATTTTCAGTGTGGTTATGTAAGCATTTCACCTTTAATCTGTTGGTTCTCAACGTCTTTAACCTTCTGTAACTATACCTCATTTTAACATATTTGCTGCAAGGAATAATTACTCCATCCTCAAAACCTAAATCCTCTACTCCAACCCTCAAACCCTTATCCTCCAACCCTCATCCTCCAACCCTCATCCTCAAACCCTCATACCTACAAGACCTTTACCCTGTGCTACATTTTGGATTCAAATTTTAAACAATTAATTGTTAACTATCATTTGCCTAATACTCTGTATATTGTAGAATTAAATATTTAACGTCACTCATTTTCAAATTTTAGACAAGTAAAACTATGTCCAACATAATGATTATACAATGTTCAGTGAGCCATGAAATTAATTTCCAAAATTTGTAAAATGCATGATAAGTAATGAAATATCAAAATTTAGAAAAAAAAAAAAAAAAAAAAAAACGACAGGAACTTAGTTTGAAAAGACATCAATTGATTATAACGGGAAAAAGAAATTAATTTCTAATTGTTCTGAATTTACAAGATTCACTTAAAAATTCTGTTAATTAATTTGTTTTTGTCTACATTTTGTTGAAATCTGCATATTTTTTAGAAATTATTACTGGTTTCACCCTATGATGATTAGTCAGATTAAAGTTAAAGTTGAATTTCTTCATTAATATTATGAACAGTTTTACAGTATTGTTGTCCTAAGGTACTAAGATAAAAAATCAAATTAAAGACTAAAACAGCAAAATTCTTTGGTGTTGGTATTTTTGTTTAATGGTAGTTCTTTGGTGTTGGGTAAAAAAAATTCTTTGGTAGTGTTAGTAAAATTCTTTGGTGTTGGGTATTTTTACTGTTGGTAGTGTTAGTAAAAGTCTTTGGTGTACGTATTTAACTTCTGTTGGTATTTGTGAAATGTTTCAATTTATTTCCTTGCTTCTTTCTGACTTTCACTTTAGAAATATTCTTTCATTTCTATCATTAGAATATTTATTCCTAGTTATAACTTCTTCTTATATACAGATATTATGAATGCATGTATTTATAGAATTAGAAGTTGAATATGCATGTGGTTGTGATATGTTGTGGTACATTAAGATGTAGATGATCACAGAAGATAGATTTTCTTCACTTGATATTTACCTAATTAAACTGGACATAGCATGTGTCACCTAAAATTGATTTCTCATTCAATGATGTTTTACATAAAGATATAAGGAGACACTGATTGATTCAAGCAAATAATTTTTTTTTTCACTTTCATTAAATTTTATCATTAATTCAATATGACTTGTTGCAAACATTTCTTATGAAAAGAATTGTCATTTTGCATTATGCACAGAAGTCAAGGGCTATGATATTGAGTTCTGGTATTTCACACAATCAGAGAGAGAGAGAAAAACAAAATTGTTAAGGATTCACCAGACTGTGACATTTACATTTAATTAAAAATTAAAAATGTTACAACATAATGCCTGTCCTTGACTTCTGTGTGCCCTGTGACCACGATCTGATCACAGTTGTTTGTACAGCCGCATCACCCTGCCTTAATTAGAGCTATGCATGAGAAAGTTCTCTGCATTTGTTTTTATCTGCTGTCCATTATTTTTTTTTTTTTTTTGTATGAAAAAAAAAACAAAACAATTTTGAATATTACACTTCGTTAAAGACCATGAAACAAATCATCAAACTATATATTTCCATTTCTTTATTTTCTAATAAAATTTTTAATGAAATATGATTTTGGAATAAATATGCACTTCAGTTTATCAAATTAATATGCCAAAAACAAATAGATTTAATTTTGAATTTGTAATGAAGTCTTTATTTAATGATAACAAATCTAACATTGATATTTTTGGACATTTATTTAGCTTGACTAATTGTGCAGAAAAAGCACAAATCCCCAATTGTCTTTCATCACTACATCATTTATCAGGAAATGTTTTTAGAAAATTACACGTCAGTAGCTAAAGTAAAAATTTATTACAAAATTTATTACAAAATTTATTGTTTTAAATTCTGTCTTTGTTTTCTTTCATTAATAATGACAGTCAGATAAGAACCGATTTGAATGAGAACTGACCTTTGACCCTGCTTTGTGCCTAACCTTGTTACACGCCTTCGTGTCTGTTTAGTCCCTCTAGTGAGCGTACAGCCACCTACCCCACAGCACACGTTCCTTTCCATGCACGGAGCTCAGGAACCAAGTCTCAATACTCAGGCGGAGGAGGATCCGCAAGGTAACAAACAAGGGACAGATAACTCTTATTTTTTCTGAACAATATTCTTTTTTGTTTTTTGTTTTTCAGATTTGTATGTTAATTTTAAATTGAGATGTAAATTAAATGTTTTTTTTCTTTTTCCCCTGTTTTATTTTTTTTCTTTGGTGGGTGGGTGAATGGAGAGGGTTATGAACAATTTCTTAACGACACAATGAGACCCAAAATCAGTGGTCTTTATTGACAGGTAATGTAGGTAGCTTCATTTGAAAGGTATCTGTTATGTACAGATGGCCCTTTTCTAGCAGGTATTTGTTATCTACATGTTGAATTTATACAGAGTTATCTGCTATGCAGAAGTGGCCTTTACATACAGAGATTTCTTCGAAAGAATGGTCTCCAAAGACAGATTATTTGGTACACATAGAAACCCATTATAGACCGTTATCTGTTATTGGTAGCCTTTTCAGACAGGAATTTATTATATAGAGATGATCTTTATGCACAGCTACCTGTTATGTAGAAATGGTCTTTATAGACAGATATTTTTTTATACAGGATGTCGTTATATACAAGTGCTCGCTATATACAGACAGTCTTTATAGATATGTATCTGTTATGGAGAAAATGTCGAGAAGTTGTCTTTATAGACAGAGATTTCTTAGAAAAAAAGTGGTCTTTCAAGACAGGTATTTTCTACATATAGGAATCTTTTATAAACAGATGCTTGCTATATACAGGTAGTCGTTATAGACATATATCTGTTATGTAGAAGTTGTCTTTATAGACAGATATTTTTTATACAGGATGTCTTTATAGACAGGTGCTTGCAATATATTCAGGTGGTCTTTATAGAAAGATATATGTTATGTAGAAGTGGCCTTTATAGACAGATATTTTTTTATACAGGATGTCTTTATAAACAGGTGCTTGCTATATTCAGGTAGTCTTTATAGGCAGATATATTTTATGTAGAAGTGGCCTTTATAGACAGATACTTTTTATGTAGTAGTGACCTTTTTACATAAGTATTCTGTAATAAAGATTAAGTGGCATTGTAGACAAATATTCATCATATTGAGGTTGTCTTTATGGACAGGATATTTTTGTTTAGAGTTGGCCCATATAGACAGGTATTTATGATACAGAAGTGATTTTAAGGCAGGTTTGACTGTAATACACTACATATGAGTTGAACTTGTAACTGTTTAGTACTGCCTCGCTGATCAAGAGATATATTCCGTGACAACTTAGCTCGTAATTGATATTTTCACACAGTTCATTACTTTTCTAGTCCTGTTTTCCCTTGTTGTTATTGACAACCATGTCTATAAAGCAACAATAAACAAGTAAACAATGATATAAACACTGTTCCATTTAGTGAAAGCATTGACAGCTTAACAATGAAATAAACACTGTTCCACTTAGTGAAAGCAGTGACAGCTTAACAATGAAATAAACACTGTTCCTCTTAGTGAAAGCATTGACAGCTTAACATGTCAGTAATATGTCATTGTCATAGAAAATAAAATCTTTCTCATTATTTGAAAAAAATATTGCTTACAATTGATCCTCTGTCATTTAACACTGAAATTTAAACTAAATTGAAATATGATCTATTTTACATGTAAGATGAATGAAATAGTACAGACCTGTACCTGTAGTGTATATAGGCTACAGGTGTGTAATAGCTAAAACTTACACCCAGAAAATACATTGTGAATGTTACTATATGTTATATCTGATTTAGATATAATACAAGGTTTCCCCCAATACACGCCCTTTGTGCTGTAAATTTTACTGTGTAGTTGACATGTTTAAGGGATATTTTGCTGTTTTGTAGATAAACTGCAAATCCTTGACAACAATGTAATTAATAACGAAAACAGATTGTTTTGTTACATGACAATCTTAAAATGATAACATCTTTTTTGCCTCAAGGTGTTTGAAAAACCATGAAAATTAGAACTTAAAAAAAAAATCTTCTAAATTACAGCATATCTGTTGTTTTCATTTTTCCATAGTAATGTTGTTTCAAAACGAAATCTAAAAGATCTTAAAGTCTTTTTTTTTTAGTTAAATTAAACAAGTTTTTCCTGCAGGAGTTGATCTCACGGAGCGTCACACTGGGCGTCCCACTGGGCGTCATCATTATTAAACAGGATTTCTGTAACAACTTTAACAATGTTACTTGTTAATATAATTTACTTAATGCATAATGATGTAACCTTTGAAATAACTGCTACTTATACTTGTAATAATTACATTGTAATACCAAATACCTAAAGGGAAGTAACTCAGAATTATTATCTCTCCAATGTAACACCCTTGATAAGATTATACTTCATTGTTAAAACAGGAATTTCAGTTCCAAAGGCAGAAATAAGATAAGATTTACATAGTGCAATTAAATGGGCTGCCTGAAGTGTTTACATTTTCTTGTTCATTTTTGTATTACTGCCACGATCCACATCCATTGCCTAGAAGTGACTTTTAGATACAGTGATCGAAAGAAATTCAACTCAAATCTAGACCAAAACTGATATGTGGATCATCTTGGGTTATTTTGAGGGCCTCTTGGAAAATTGATCGGCTGATTTTTGTAGAGGGATATTGTTTTTAGACCAAACATTCTGTATACTTTATGTGAGGAAGTAGCCTCTCTGAAGAAGTGTATCCAGGGAGTACAACTTAAATGAGGACCAGATCAGAAATTCCAAATACTCAAGTCCACTTTCTGCAGATTATTAAGATTTTTAATTTTCAAATTTTGAGGATTATAGCAAAAAAATGTCTTGAATGATTGATTTCCTTTTTTATATGTAAAATTCTTTAGTAAATAATGTATCTATTATTTTAGTATCAAAATGATTTTTTAGTGAAAATAATTTTCCCCAGAGTTTTTGTGACTGTAGACATTTGGTCATTATAGTAAGTAGAAACAGGAATGGACATATTATTCTGTAAGATTATCGTCAGGTCCCATTATACAGGTCTGACTGGTGTATGTGTATTATACAGATTTAACTGATGGAGCGTGGGGTACAGGAGATAATGAATTACTTCGACAGAGAGCAATTGAACAGGAACGTCGTCGCAAGGAAGAAAAACTTAGAAGAAAACGAGGGGAAGGTAACTCTATCCTGCTTTTGTATCGAAAAATCCTTCCCCCCACCCTCTACCCACATATTGTTTCAAACTAACTGATAGCAACTCGTGCTATTTTGACTTCAAAAATACATTCTGATAAAAGCATCTTTGGGTATTGGCAAGGAGAAACTAAATAATATAAGGAATTTTAATTGATATTTCCAGAAATATGTCTATTTATGTTCTGAGGCCTTTGTCGTTTCTGTCTCCTCTGTGCTGCAGTATCATTGTGATAGAACAGTGCTGTCTGCTAATACTGTTTGTTATCAATGCAGTATTTTGTAATAGCTGACACAGCTCACTGATCTTTTTCTCTGTCTATCTGACTGTGTAGATAAAATAACCATTTTGATTTTTTGTAAGGAGTTATGCCCCTTTTATGTTGACCTCATAAACATTTTTATGTGGTGATGAAGGTATTATATTTGTCTTTGAGTTTCAATTTTAAGTTACTTGGCTTATCAAAGAATATTCAAAACTGTTCAATTCTTTCATTATAAAATGGAATCTAAGTGTAATTAATTTTTTTCTTGTTATTTTCATAACATGTTTAATAATTCACATCTACTTTGTTCATCAATAAAGTTTTTGTGCATGTACCTGATTTGGCCCCTATCAGTGTGTACATAAATGATGTTTTGCCTTGACTAGGTCCTACCGTATCAGGCGGTTCCTACCTCCAGAGCAGCAGTGAAAGTCTTGGGGCTGCTAGTGCAGGTTCTATTCCAGTAGCCAAACCAGTTCGTACTAACTGGAAGGGCAGTAACCAAAGCCTCCGCAGTCTGGGGTCGAAGAAAGGTAGGTAACTCTTATTGACTCTTAGGATCTCCAGCTTCACTTGTTCATGACCTGTTAAGTTTTAGGGAAAATATTCTAGAATATAAATATACATCTCATTATTCATGTCGAGTTATGAGAATAAGAAACTTGTTTACTATCTACAGATGATAAAGTTCAATGATAAATAAAATAGAATTTCTTCGCTGAAACTATTGTATGTTCATATGAATTAACTCATCACATGTACATGTATTTAGATCCAGGGATGAAAACTGAATTTCTGATTCTGTCAGCGATTTGCTGTTTGAATAATAATCATGCAGTCATTCTTTATTGTCATTTCTGTAGAATATGAAATATCCCCTCCCTACTTAAAAATATTTTAAAAATCATCATCTTCAATTGATATAATTATGATGATATCAAGTGTGATGCTTTATATTACTATAAATTCTTACTTTCAAGTTAGTCTATCAAACCTCCTATATGTTTAGCTTATTCACTTCATTTTACTTAAACTATAATGATTAAATGATTCTCTGTTCATAGATATATCTACTTTTTTGAACAGATATGAATTCATCATCTATCTAGTTATTTTCATGTCTTATCTATCTCCCTGTACCATTTTACCGGTCATACAGAGCTACTTCTTCAGCTTTTTAATGTTTCTAAACATTCAGCCCAACCTTAACTATTTTAGAAGTGATTGCTTTGTTTCTGTAATATTAATAATGTGATGTAAAATGTTAAAATCAAAATTTGTCATTTTGCTACATCGTAAACGCTTTTGGAAGAGAACATCCCTAAAAAAGTTGTAAAACATATTAAATAACTATATAATTATGTCAATTAGTTCTTAATTTAATTGAAAACAGACATTGAAATAAAAAAAGGAACATACAAAAAAATTGTTATTTTTAAATGTTTTTAACATTTTTCTTTCCTTTTTATTGATATTTCCAAGTTTTTTTTTTAATAAATTGTTGAAGTGCAAATATCAAAGATTTAATTACTAAAATGCAATGTGTTTGAAATGTAACAAATTTGAATTTAAAAATCAGCATGAAATAAATTGTGCCAAATGAAGAAATGGTTTATCTGTGTCTCCTGCCTTGTGTTACAGACGACACTGATGGACATAAGTCTCCAGAAAGAGAAATTGATGCTCGTAATTGTCCTCTCAGTTTGTGTTTTTGTCTGTCAGTAGAATATCTTTGTCTAGTTTGTATACTTGGTACCTTCTTTTCTATCATTACAGCCACTTGCTGCAGTATATCAGATATATGTATCATCCTTTCTGGGTCTTTGTGGTACAAGCTTAAAGTTTGCTATATATATATTTTTGGTTTTTGTTGGTTTTATGAAAATCACCTAGTTAATGATTTTTTAAACATTTTTGCACTTTAATGGTTATAAGTTTTGAAAATTTTAGATACTATCTCTTTTGCATGAAAAGCAGTATTAATCAGAACTGCAGTGTTTTTTTGAAACTGTAACAGTATCATATGGATCAGTACATTTGTGTTTTTTTCCAAATTTTTATTTCAAATTATTTAAACAAAATTTCTAGTCCAATAGAAATAAAAAAGCAAAACAATAACATTTCAAGAAACATTGAAATATTTTGTATTGTAAAATGGCCTTGCCCTGTATTGTTTTGATAGCGTATATATATTACCAAATAAGGGAAATTTGAATGCAAGATTTTTATGTAATATTCACATCTGATATTTATTTCAATTTCTTAATAACTTTTGTATGGAGTCAGGTTCTATTCTAAATGTCAGCCATATCTATTGAGTGTGAATTATACTGTAACACTGTCAAACAGGAGGAGAAAACTTTGACAGTAACAATAAAGAGTTATCTTTCCCTGGTTTTTACTCTATTTCCCTCTTCTACTTTCTACCGATAGCTCAACTGAAATGGTAAAACCTATATTTATAAGGATTTGTATTAATTTGGGAGCAGGTTCAACCAAGATGAATTTAAAATAATGTAAAATGTAATATATTTTATATTGCTTGGTCTATTAATGATATAGCTTAAAGTCATCTGGTCATTAATCACTGTCTAATATCGTGTCATCTAATTTTGTGTCATCATGTTCCATGTGTAATCAAAGTTATCATGTCTGCAGTCTGTTCATTTATTGAAAAATTGTCCTCATGAATTCACCTAAATATTTTTTATTTTTTTTATTTTATATTTTTTATTAATTTACTTTGACAAAAATCAATATCAAAATAAGAAATGAAAGAATATAAACAAAAGAATGAAAACCAGTTAAAAGTGAAAACATAACTTGTTGTCCGTTTATCTGGAATCAATATGTTACAATGTCAAGGTTACCTTTATTTGACTTTTTTTTCAATTAAAATTTTGAATTTAATTAGAACTGTTGAATTCATGAGGAATCTTGTGTTATTTTCACATCCATTATGATAGACTTGTACATATACAGATTTCCGTAGATTAGATGATTTTTTTATTTACAATTTAATATTGGTTTTATTTTTCGTCACACCTTAAATGGACGGGTTTGTGGTCGATGTTTTGTTTTGTATCGTATAATTACTTTATTGTGTGTTCTAGGAATTCACAAGCGTACAGACTCTACTGACACTTGAATATACATACATAGTGCTTTGTCACATCACAGGCTTAATTATAGACTTGACTGATTCCTGAAATAATAGACAATAATTTCACAAACTTAAACACTTAAATTTTGATATATCTAATGTTTGTATGTATATCTACATATTGATGTACTTGTGTCAGACTAGTGCACTTTAACTTTCATTTTACAAACACTATGGGAGCACTTGTTCAGTAAAAAGTTTCACTGCTGCGAAGCAAATAAATTTGAAATATATATCTTATCTTATTTATATCTAACAAAACATGAAAAAAAAAGAAATATATGCAAAAAAACAAAAAAAAATTCAAAATTAAAAAAAAAGTGAAATATCCACAATATTATTACTAATGTAAATGTTCATTTCATTGTTTTTATGGTAAATGATTCATCCTCAACAGAAAACATTGGCTTGTTAATTTCCAAAAACAAATTATTGATTTTTTATTACTTTAATCTTTAAAGTATTTTGACATCATTACATGCTGCATTAAAAATAGATTTCTAGATGGTTATCTGATGGATAATTTTATAATTACAGTACGGGTGATTTGTTAACTTCAAGGATTTTCTCAATTTTCTTAAGATAGTGTAAAAAAACTGATTTTAAACAATGGTATGTTACATAGAGTATTAAAAATTTGATAACAGAACCGGTAGAGTTGAATAAGAATTGACACTTCATCATACAGCTGAGTTTTTATCCTCGGGGATTATTGGTAAAGTCATTCATATCATCTACCTCCAGTTATAAATTTCGTCACTGATTTATACAACGGTAACATCATTAGACAGGTTAACTAACTGCAGGTTTATCACTGATAATCTTAACTGGTTTATTTATATATATATATATATATATGTATACTATCATATCCTGTATATATATTATATACAAACTGCTTCAGTGTATGTCATTGTTGCTATCCTATACATGTCTGTATATCTAAAATTATACCAAAACTTTAAAATTGAAACTTTGAGCAAGACAAATAGTAATATCTGTAGCAGGTATGATTCAAATATAATGAAACACAAAAACATATTGATGTAGGATGTTTGAATTGCTTATGATATTTAGTTTCCTTTAGGTCTACTTGTCTCAAAGTTAACTTTAAAGATTCATGTCTCAAAGTTTAGTTCAAAGTTTCAATTATAACATGTGGTAAGGTGAAAATTCAGAAATGAATGAAAATTAAAATTATATCATTTCATGGCAATGGTTATGTTATGATTGACCTGGTCAATACGTATGAAATACAGCATCAATATGTCAATAAGCCCATGTCTGGTAATAAGCCCACCCTCTGATGTTAAGTAAGATGTAATGTGTTGGCTACACAGGATTATCAAAGAATATGATGTTTTGGGGCAACAATTAGAACCATTTCATCAACCACTGATTAAAAGTATGAAACTTTTGAGAATTTACTTTGGCGAGACTTATTATTCCCAATTTGCAAAAATTACAAAAGTGTAAAAAAAGCCTTATGTAATTTCAGTACTAAGTTTAGGATATATATCTCATGTTAATGACTTCAGTCCTACCTGTGTTGTCAACCTTACCTCTCATTGTATGTAGTTCTCGGACTGTTTACAACACCATTCTATTTCCAAAAATTAACTTAAACTGAATCACATTTATTTGGTTAGGCATTACGAAAAATATTATTTCTCCTTTGTGAAGTTTTAAATATTTCACAATTAAATTTAAGAGAATGTGGCCAGAATTTAATTTTTATTTGAAATGATATATAAAAACAGTGGGTTAATGAACATCAAACATACTGTTGTGTAGACGGAATGGGTTAGTTATGTTAAACAAATATACAATATATATAGTGTGTTTATAAAAATATTTCTTCATAGTTTATCGTACATCATTTAAATCACTGACTCCTTGTTCATATTGAAATCATTTCACATTAATCTCATTTTCACTAAGGAAGGTTGTTTATGTTTCAATGATGCAATTTTCAAGCAATCTTATCAAGAATGGTTGGAAATATTTCAATTAAATTTCACACAAAATTTCTGTGTGAATGAAATGTTATTTACTTGACAAGTTGTGGAGTCAGTATAAATGTGTTGATCCGGTATCAGTAGATTTCTTTACTGACAGAATTAAAATGTTATATTAACTTAGATTCATTTTGATCCATCTGTAATTTACTGTTGAATATCTGTTAAAAATAATCAAGTCACTGCAATTTTTTAATTTTTTTAATTGATTATGAATAACTTTTAATTAACAATTTTTTGCATAATTTTTAATAGTTCCATAAATTGTATATTAATTGCATAATAATTTTCATTCCGTTTCACTTTTTCTTTGTTGCTTTGAAATAGTTAAAAAATGCTTTTGCAGAAATATGAATCTAGCTTTTCAAAAGTGAAAAAAATCATCATTTTTTTATTGATAATTAGATATTATTATTACAAATTTTTTTGTTTTATCACACAACAGGAAGTGGAGACGAAGGATCACACAAAGGAAGTGTGATATTTGGACCCGATGGTCAAGTGATCAGTGTGGGAGGGGCCATCCAACCATCGCCGCGATTGGAAGCGACCGGTATGATCGACCAAGTTACTGATGCTAATCGTATCTTTGGCAAAGGTAGGGGACACAACTCTTGTTTTTTTTTTTTTTTTTATAAGGAAATTTATTTATTTTCTGCAAGGTACTTAAGAGAATATTTTCACATTTTTGTTAAATATTATACCCTTTGTAAAACTCTTTGATAAGGAAACAGGATGTAAGATGATATGTTCAGCTTCCTCTACAGGTTTTTCTTTTGAAGGAACAAAGACTTAAAAATCATGTTGATTATGTTTCTCTCTGTGTTTGTAAATCAGTTATGATCAATATATGTTTTAAACTCATTAATCTCGTTTCAAAGAAGAAACTAAGATATCTTTTTCAGATTTTTTTTAGGAATAACACTTTAGATAGAAATGTATTGGTAAATGTATCTGGCTGATACATGCTATATTGAATTTTCTAGGTAGCAAAAAACCAGCTCCAATAAGTAAAGGTAACTCAGTTAGTTGGACCCGTAGGCAATATGCATGCTGTATTTTTTATCATAGAAATATATACTTTAAGTCATGCTGAATTCCAATTATATAGTCATGTCTCAGGCATTTTTTCCTCCTTATATGGACATGTCCAAGTCGTTTTGCCCTCCTTGTCCCAGACATTTTATCCACCATAGAAGACATTTTCCTGTCATTTTGTCCTCTCTTTGATAAGTCCAAGGCATTTTGTCTTCTTTTTAAGACATGTCCAAGTTATTTTGCCCTCCACAACGATAGAAATCTCCCAATTATGTTGCTCTCCTTATACAGACATCGCCCAATCAATCTGCCCTCCTTGTATAGACATTGCCGAATCATGCTGCCCTCCTTATACAGACATCTCCCAGTCATGCTGCCCCCCTTATACAAACATAGCCCAATCATTCTGACCTCCTTACATAGACATCGCCCAGTCATTCTGCCTTCCTTATATAGACATCACCGAATCATACTGCCCTCCTTATACAGGTATCGCCCAATCATTCTGCCCTCCTTATATGGACATATCCCAATCTTGCTGCCCTTCTTATATAGACTTCGCAGAATCCTGCTGCCCTCCTAATATAGACATCTCCAAAGCATGCTGCCTTCCTTATATAGACATCTCCCAATCATGCTGCCCTCCTTATATAGGCATCTCCCAATCATGCTTTCCATATATGGGGACTTCCAAATGATTTTGCCTGCCATATATAGACAAGCCCAAGGCATGCTTTCTCACTGTTACAGATTTCTCTTTCCTGGATAATTCTTCCTAGAAAACATTTATATGTGATGCATGAGAGAATGGAAATTTGAAAGATGTCTTAATTCTTGTTGCTCACCTTTTTTTTATTTGCATAGGATGATAAAAAGTCCTCCAAGACTGTTTTAATGATATTTGATATATACTTCATTCGTTCTGCATTACAATCTTCATCAGGGACAGACAGCAATACACATTTTATTGTAGTTATTTCAATTTCACATGTATGAGCTTCATAAGATTGACTGAAGGCATAAACTTGTGTCAAAGCTTTACATCAAACTTGTGTTGGAACTTAAAGCTTTACATCAAACTTGTGTCAAAGCTTTACATCAGACTTGTGTCAGAACTTTACATCAGACTTGTGTCAGAGCTTTACATCAAACTTGTGTCAGAGCTTTACATCAAACTTGTGTCAGAACTTTACATCAAACTTGTGTCAGAACTTTACATCAAACTTGTGACAGAGCTTTACATCAAACTTGTGTCAGAACTTTACATCAAACTTGTGTCAGAGCTTTCTTGATCGGATTATTGTCCTTTATAACAGTGCCACCTATTGGACTATAGATTATCAGTGGGCAAATGTCTCGCCTTGTAACAGGTTTGCATGTGGAAAATGAGATAAAAACAGACAGCAATAAAACGACTCTTCTCCGAGAGCTTAAGTACAAATTAAAAAAAAAACAAAACAAAAATCAATATTTCCATTTTGCCAATACAATAAAAGTATCTATAGAATGGTATATGAATTAATTGTTTACATGAATCTAGTTGGGGGGACACAAACAAATCATTTTCATTAAAAAACAAATACATTCACTGAATTTATACTATAGAATAATCACTTGCTTCCATATTAGGCCAGACAAAAGTTTCCACTTTCCTGAGATTTTTTTTCTAGTGATTTAGCACATAAATCTATTCATTATACTTATAGACACTGATGGTAAACTCTTTAATAGATTAAGCTCAATCAGTACTCCCTATATCTGCCTTCCATTGATTATTACATAAAACACAGATATATTTTGCTTGGCCTTATTTTAACAATTAAGCATGCATTTGGGTTTATTAGATGCTTAATTTTGACCTTGTGACCTCTGCAGATGTAATATTAGGATCACTGACAATAGACCTGCCATTTCTCCGTATGTATGGTATGTTATCACTTTGAGGTCGGAAGGTGCTAAATCTGTGATTTACTTGGTAATTTGGATAGTTGTGAGGGTTTATGGTGATTGTCACTGGAATGGAAATAGACTTGTTGATGTGATTTGTTTTTCGTAACATTTCAATATCAAACAAATGCCCAACAACGCTCAAACTTACATACACTTCCTCATTATAATGGTTGATGTACTAAATATTTCATTTACATATACGTCAAAATTGTTGATACACTAAATGCTTTCCTTCCTTTGTCATGAAAATAAAATGGTTGATGGGAAAATAATTTTTTTTTTCGGGATGAAACTGAGATCTACTTTTATCTACCATAACCAAGAGTACCATTCTAATGATCGGATATTCATGCTTCATTGAAGAGAGCTACTACCATCAACTAACAATTGTTCTGCCTTCATCTTATTTTTCATGATGTCCATAAACATTATATTTTGTGAATTTTAACTTTCCCTAAATTCTGAATTTTGGATTTTTTTTTCTGGCAAGTTTTGTTATTGTCATTGTGTAATTGAATAAGTACAATAAAACCATGCTTCCTCTGACAATGATATACTGACCTTTGTTACTTGAGGGAGACAGGATTGCTGATGGTTTAGATTGGCTTCAGAAAAATTTGGAATCTCATTAATCTTTAATTTTTCATTTTTCCAAATTTTCTGAATTTAATTTTAATTTAATTTTTGAACAAGGAAATCAAAATTCCTGAAAATGTGTTGTCACCCTTGGTTCTGAGAGGCATAATTACAAAGGGATATATTTGTGACATAGTTGTCACAGGTTTTTGGTATATGAGAGTATTTAATGCTGTGACTGCTAATACAGGGCCAAAATTATCTGGACCCTGTATTTGAGTTCCCTCCTCCTTAGTTTGAAATTTTACAAAGTTTATTTACTAATATCATTTATTATAGTATTCACACTTTATATATATATACATACGTAGAGAATATATATACCAAGTACATAGAAAATTTTATAATTCATTTAGTATTACAGGCTTGAGCTATGAATTATGTAGTGGACCATATACATGTAATCACATAGCCTATTAATATCATCAATAATTGATATTATTAGTAATTAATATTATGACATCATTAATTTTCCATTTCCCCTTGTTTTCATTTGACTTAGTAGCTAATCCACAGTCAGAAATTTCACATTGTTATTCAATTATCGATACATCTGTGTTCTTCTGTCTGGAGGTATTTGTTTCTCTTTAACATTATTTGTTTCTGATAAAAACTTGATACTAGATCTAAATAATGCTGTAACATTGCTATTTAATCATACATATCTACAGCTAGCGTGTTTCTTTAATTTTTCAATTAAAGTATAGCAAAGAAAAAAATTGTTCAAAGTGCTTTTAAAAATTCACCTCCATACAAAATATAGTGTTCCTCAAGTGAAGGGAAATAACTCTAAGAGAATGTTGGGACTGTCACATGATTGGATAATTTTCTTGACTCTGTTTTGTGTAGATTTAATTGTGAATGACGTGTGTATTCTACAGATCTTGTCAGTGATGAATCTGATGATGAACCTGAAGAATGGAAACACAGTAAAGCTCTGCGTCGTCGGGATGTAGTAAGACGAGGTAGGTCATGATAATCATTTTCTTTTAAACAATTGCTTTTTACGAAAATGTGAAATTTAAGAAAATTTATCGGAATGTTTTAATTTGTAAAAATTAACTGTAAAAAAATTTACTAGGTGTTTTGAAATAACTGTGTCTATGATTTTTCAGTTTTTTTTTTTAAATATGAAATTAAGAAGCCACTTAAACTTGTCCTCGTATTCCAGTGACCTTATATGGAGGTGCTTGGAATTCTTTCTTATTAAATGAAATTTTCAGAAATCTTGAATTTTCTTTATTGAAAAAAAAACGTTTTTAATAATCTTGAAAGATGATCAGTAAATATATTCATTGAAGAGTAAATACATTACATTCTATAAAAATTGATGTAGTGAAATAAAACATTACATACAGAGAAAAATAACAATAGGAAACATTAAACTGTTGTTTATGATATTTAATGGGATATGTGTTTCCCTGATACAGCTGAGGACACTAACATGATATACAGGTATATACAGGTATACATTGTCACACAGAGATGGGTGTGTCTTTATGTTGGAATGTTCAATATTTTGTTATGTTTTGTTATTGTATTGTAAGTTAGGATTCTTGTAAGCATGAATAAACAAAGTATTCCCTGAGAATATTTTTTGAACAACAGAGGTATACATTTACTTATCTATTTCTTATTTTAGAAGATTTTATATCTTTGAGGTTTATTCTATAAAATTCCAATTTTTCAAATTTTTACAAGCCCGTTATTTTTCCCTTATGATACAATACACCCAGGTTACTGTAGTTTTAATGATGACTCTGGCCCATACAAAGTTTTTAATTAATTATTGTTATGATTTATCATTATTTTGTTTCATCACCTTTGAGAGTTGCTGGATATTTAAGTTTTAATGTCACTGTGATATATTTTTTACTAGATGTTTCAAATAAAAAAAAGAAAATCATTTTATTTCATCACTATTGAGATACTTGGCAGCTTCCATCACAGCAGAGTGGTTTACTAGATGTTTAAATGGATGCAGGATTGATTTCAACTACAAAAAAATATTCCAGAAATTTCTATCATAAATCTGGAAATCAACAATTTAGTAAGAAGTTGATACTTATCAATATTTACAACAGGAAACATGTTGTTTTCTTCTCTATAATTATGTAATGGTGTGTTTGATTTTGATCATTTGATAATCTTTTTTCGGTTGGAAGTTAAAATTGAAGAAGTCACTAATTGTTATATGTAAATCCAGAGAAATTTATTCATTTTGATAAATATAATGATAAATGTATTGGAAGATTTCAACGCTTCCTACATCTTTTAAATTGTCATTTTGGTTTTTAAATATTTAGATACAAATACAGTTAAAATTTGAACCAATATGTCTTGGTAACATTGACAATAATTAGGACAAAAAATTCCACAGAAATTGATAGGGAAGGGACAGAACTCTTTCAAGGTAAATTAAAAACATAATAAAACCATAATCGATGAAAAACATTTAATCATGAAGATGTACTATATACACAGGTGACTTTTACCTATAGGTAAACATTTGTCTTTTTTGTTGATATGAAAACAGGGACATCACTTTAATGTTGAAGGTGAAATTTATGTTTCATGTTTTTGTGGTAGAATCTTAAGACCATGTTTAAATAAAGTTTTTCACAAAGGACAAAAATGTTAGAAAAAAAACTATGATTTACATGTGTTTTGTATATTATGAAGGTATACAGGTAAGCAAGTGAAAATTTTCTCTTACCGTTATTATCATCTGACCCATTAGAGATCGACTATACTTCGGGTGATATTGACGCCACACAGTCGATGAAATCGTGGAGCTACATGTCTAGGGACAATGATACAGATATAATAGAGTTAGCTGCCCAATCTACAAGCCTGCCCGGTGGTCTTGCTAGTAATTACGAGCAAGGTAACCGATGAAGCGTGACCAGGATCCACTGTGTTGCTAACAATTTCCCTTCCCAGGTCTTGTCGCACAAGCCCATGATTGAACATCATCAGAGTCACACGGCTCTTGATTGGCACAAGTCAAATCTATGTACCTACACAAACTTAAAAACACTAAAAACTCATTGACCATCACTCATTACGTTAATGATATCTCACTCCAAAGTTAATATCTGACATTCTTGTTTATAGGTTCATTTCAATCACATCAATTCCTCAACATTCCAAGGTCAATGTCAAACCGCGTTAGTGACTTTGATTAAATTTCTTATGTCATTTACGTGCCTTTGTTCAAAAGGCTGGTCAATAAGACATGATACTTAACCTTTCTAAGAACTGCAAGAATACCAACATTATGATAAGAAGGAACATGAAAGTAAAGTGCTAATTGAACATACATGATTCATTACGCAATGTAGATCTGACTTTATACGAAAGATCAAACTTTCAATTGAAATCTCTTATTCTGAAATTATTTGAAAAAAAACTAGAGAAGCATCCATTTTAAAATTAAGAACATTTCTATTTTTTTTTTTTTTTTCCATGTTTAAGCCCAGGATACATCAGTTCATGTTATTCAAATGAAATGGAGCTGGAAATAAATATATGAATTGAGTCTTTCACCTTTGTCTTAAGCCTCTAATACATCATATCGTTGTGCACCACTTAACTTCCTTTGACTTAACATTCAGTTCACTAAGGGAAAACCGTAACGGTGAATTCACCTTGTTGGCATTGTACAGGCTGTTAACATACATTTTAAATGAGTTTTTATTTCATTAATTGTTTGACCTTGGTAGATTTCTATCTAAACTTTTACAGGCCCTCTTCATGAAAACCAACTGCATTATTTCCTGCCATAATTTCACCACTGTCCTTGTCACTGGAAAAAATAAATAGCACTGTTTATCACTGGTGTGAATTGACTAGAACCCATTAGTGTTAATTGATTTGTTTCTTAAGTATTGCTATGACACTTATGTTGTCATATTTGTAATTACCATCACTTGCTGTTGCCTGCCATTGTGACATACGTATTCTTATAAAACATGATTAAAAATTATAATTAGTTTTATTTTAGTGGTTAATTAGACATTGAATTTTATATCTATTCACACAATTATGTCTGTGATAATTGGGTTTTTTTTAAACTAAAATTAAGGACTTAAGAGTCTATTTGTGAAAGCATTTTATTATTCATATTATTTGATGTATCTATCCAACTTCATATTTTTAGTTATATCTCATCATAAGACATATTTTTACTTTTACTGAAAACTAAAACCCCAAATCCTAGATCTACAATATGTCATTGTTTCAGAAACCCACTTTAGAATACCTAAAGATATCACAATTTTAAGTCGAGCCACAGAAAAAACAGAGGAAAATGACAGAGCAGAGCCAACCCCTGCCCTGGACACATTCTCAACCCGCTACCCAGCTCCCCCTGGTACCGAGATTCTCAACTCATCCATGGGAGGGGAGGGAACTGCTGCACCTAGCAGGCTAACCTCAGTCAGTCTCGACGAAACGCCTCTCCCTGTTCCCATAGAAACTCCACATCCAGAAAAGATAGATGAAGAGTCAAAGGAAAGTGAAGGTCAGGAAACTAGAGAAGGAACAATTTCCAAGGTTACTGAGGGCAGCCGTTTAAGCAGCAATGCTGAAGGTCCGGCTCCTGTCTCCCAAGTAACATTTATTCAGAATTCCAAATCTTTTGTCAACACACCCCTATCCAACACTGAGAGCAATGAACAGGTCCCTGTGGAGGAAACAAAGGAGGAACAACTGCCCGTGGAAATACCTGTAGAGCTGCCGGAGGAAAAAACAAAAGGAGAGGAAGAAAGTAGAGAAGAAGAACACATTCAAAGGGAGGTAACACCACCCCAAGTTTCTAGGCAGCAGTCTCGGATCTCATTAATCAAGCCTGTTGCTGAGACCACAGAGGTTGTCGAACAGGAAGAAGTTGTTACAGGGAGTGTCCCGGGATCTGCTAGAGGTAGAAAATTATCTGAACTTTGACCTGGCATCACTGACTTCCTGTCACGTGTCCTAGCAACATTAATAAATCACGAAACCCAAGCATTGAATGGCACACCAGATAATGGAAATAGATATCTTTGTTCGCTAACAAAATAAATGTACAGCATGCTGTTTTTTATTTTTCAGGTTTAATTAACCCTTCACTGTTTAAATTGTGTGAAGTGTGTTTGTTTGTTTGATATGAGCACTGAGTGTCCAAGACACACACTTTGATTTAATTTTCAACTGAAGTTGAATTTCACAGCATGTAAGTCACGAGAACACTAAAGGATTAATGTCTGTCAGACTTATGTCAGATACAGAAAAAATGATAACAGGAACTTGTTTTTTAATCACAGCCTTTAAATTTATTCTGAAGGCATGTCATGTCACAAAATGAGCTGATAGGTTTCAGAAAATAATCCAACAGTTAAGATACAGTATACTAGATAAGTAAATATTTTAATTGAAATTGATTTGTTGTCACTATTTTGGGGGAAAACAGTAATTAGTACAGTTTCTGTAGTTGTACATTAATGTATTACATGTAGATAAGTATTCCTTTACATCGATTTGGAAATTAAAGAAAGAAGAATGAATTCTTATTCTAGTAAATGTTAAAAATTTATTTCTCATACACATGTTGATTAAAATTCATTAATTTATTAAATGTTACTTTAAATTACAATATTACTTGAATTTGTTGTTATTCAGGTAATAAAAATGGCTACTCAAAATAAAAATGTTTTTTCAATACCATGGAAGTGTAGGTGATATTTTTCCTGAACAAATTGTCCATGCAATTCTGCTAAACATTCTTTTGTTTTCAGGTAACAGAATAGTCTATTGACTGAGAAATAATTTGTTGTTTCATTGAATTTGTTTTGTATTAAGAAAAATAAGTAATGAAAAATGAAATAAACAATGCCTTGATTGTGAATGTTTGAATATAATTTTTTTTTTGTATATTGCGTTTATTATTTTGCCATGAATTCCAGATGAAAAAAGTAAAATACATTTGTATGTCTTTTCTTTTTACTTACTTTTTTTCTCCTGTTTACAGATTTTTAAGTTTTCATCATTTTCTACATATTATTTTTATGACTTTTCTTGCAAATTTTCTATTTTCAATTTTCAGAAGGTTCTGTGAAATCCCAGATATCAGAAGAGGATATTGTAAATGCTCTCACTGAGCACGCCCAGCAGGTCGCTTCAAGTATTCTTAGTTCCAAGCCTGACACAGGCAAAGACCTTGAGGCCGATGTCAGGGTAGGTCAAGGGTCAAAAGCGGAGCAATTTGGCAGGAATTCAAGTTTGATTTATACATCTGCTTGTACTTCGCTATAAAACATGGAAAATTTTTTGTCGTACTAATTATATGATATATTTTTGTTTTGAGCCATTTTTAAAAGTAAAAGCTTGACTTTATTGATTTTGGCCTTTCTGTATACATCTCGCATGGTTTTTTTACTACTCTATTAACCCAGTGTAAATTGTATTATGTGATCTATATATATACGTTTGTATCTAACCCACTTACAGCAAGCTGCGGAGATGTGGATGGAGCGTCACCCACCGCGTCAAATCTCTCGCAGTGAGTCAGTACAGGAACACGGCGACACTGTAAGAATTTGTATATATATTTATATCTGTTCTTAACTTGTATTTTCCACAGGGTTTATACATCTCTAACTTCATTTTCAGAACTGAAACCACCACTTCACATATTTTTAATGATATTACTACACAGAAATTCACAGTCATGGCCCTCATTTGTACCAAATACATCTCCTTTCTGGCCCCACTTCACAGTGTGCTATTTCTGTATTAAAACAAATGTAACTTTTCTTAATCTTTAATCTTTTTCCTCATATTTTCATTTTTGCAGTTTCTGTAAACAATTTAAGTGTCTAGAAAACATTTCTGCCTCCACTTTGTAAAGATCTAAACTATTATTTTTCCCTTGTGTTCTTCTCGCGTGAAACCTTTCCTTGTTCAGCTGCTTCTCTATGTAAATTATTTCATTCTCTTCAACAAGATGTATTTTAATTCTTCCTAAATTATTTAATCTCTGTATTTGATTTCTTTAACAGTCCTAAACTATTCTTTACTTCTTGATAAAGGAGATGTAAGCAAATTATCTCCCCTTTACATGTTTATTGATAACTTTGATAATTATCTCCCCTTTACATATTTATTGATAACTTTGATAATTATCTCCCCTTTACTTATTTTTTGATAACTCTAAGAATTATCTCCCCTTTTCATGTATTTTGATAACTTTAAGAATTATCTCCCCTTTACATATTTATTGATAACTTTAATAATTATCTCCCCTTTACATATTTATTGATAACTTTAATAAGCTGTTTCAAATGCTGAAATCACATTTTGTAAAAATATTTCTGACCTTAAACCATTTCCTCCATGTATACACTTTTGTTATTTTCTGTGAGATCAGATTTTCTCTCTTTTCGTATTTTCCATAATTTTGGCACTTCTGTGATTTTCCAATTTTCTCTTTTTATTGTCCATTTCCCTTCATGATTCCTTTGATAGAAGATATATTTCATTCAAGAAGTGGATGAATGAAGTGTGTGTTCTTAATTAGCATTTAAATATAGTTAGGAATAATGTAGATTTTTTGTACAAGAATCACAGATAGTAGAATATAAACTTTGTTTTTATTATAACAGATTGGAGTGTATTTTGGGAGTTTGTGGTATAAAATGAGTGAAAACAGTTAGAAGTTTTTAAACAATTTGAGTGTCAGATTAAGTCTTTGAACATTTTTTGTCGTACCTGGTACTCTGAAAGTTCTTACCATACATTTCTTTCAGTGTTTGTTTTTACAAAATTTCAAAGAAAGTAATCAGATACTGTGACAACTGATATAGTTTTTAAACATAATTTCAACACATTTATATAAAAGTACCCCTTAAACTTGAATTTACAGTGATATGTGGATGTTAACATTTTAATATAATAGCAGCTGATTAAGGGCCTGGATAATAATATTGAAAAGAATACAATAAAAGGACAATAATGCATTCCATATTTTCTGGATTATAAGCCTTATAAGGCTTTTTTCCTTTGGGGTTGGGCATGCAGTTTATATACTGGTGTGAAGAGTATGAAGGCTCTGGACTGTTATGTATTTATATGTACTTGCTTAGAAGTAAACTCACAAGACATATCAGTACGATTAATACAACCCAAAATTTTCACTGTTACAAAAACAGATAAGACAACATGTGATATATGTGTGTTTTCTTACTCCATAAAGTGTCTGTAGAATTGACAGAAATATATTGTTTTGTTGTAGTTTCCATGGCTTATCTGGTGCAAACTTGAATTTCTGGTATAAAAATCTAATGCTAATAAGATAGAGAATTCAATTTGCTAGAATTTAGAATGAACTGCATGCTTTGTATGGATATGATCAAAATTACCCAAAAAATTCAATTGTTAAGAGTTTAATAGCATTGATTTTTAATTGTTTTGTGATAAATGCATGTTTGTGCAAACTAAAAATATTCATAATTAAATGATTATGTTTTTGAATTTAATTTCAACAAACGTTAACCAGAGGATGTTGATTACAGTTATCATTGCATGTGGGTATACGTATTGGAAAAGTTAACTGTTGATACTAAATAGGGTGTACCGTCTAACTACATGTGTATACAAATCCTAAATTATGACTCTTTGTCAAATTTGATATCACATCTGTGTTAAAAACACTTGGATTTTACATGTGAGAGAAACAAATGAACAATAGAATTAAACTGAAGCCTTATATTTAATCAAATTTGATCACCGAAAAAGGATTGCTTGTCAAGTTGACATGAAGAACAATGTTATGCATACATTAACATTCTAATATTCCTGAAAAGTATTCTTAGGGCAAATAAATGCAGATACATTATGTCTTTGTGACACAATGGACAGGCTATTTTTTGCTGTATAAGCTTTTTCCATGTGGTCATCAGTTCTTCCCTATGATATTTTTTTGTGAAATCCATCCATATCTACCTGATAGTTAAAACGAAGCTCAAATCATTCACTGGTAAAACTGGAAATTTGTCCTTACGTCGCATTGCTGTTAAATTCCTAGTGTAACAAACTCCTGTTTATGAATCGTTGGCAATAATTAAAAAGTTATCAACCATACACAGTTTAAAATGAAATTTGCTTGTCTTAGATTTTTAACAGTGCCTGGAAATAATTGCTTTGTGTCTCAGGTTAGTGGAGTCCTCATCCAAATATTGAGACAATGATTGCACAACAGTTTACAATATAGAGACCTACTGTTAGACTTAAGGTCAGCAGTGTTTGCGCTGTAGACTATTTTAGTATGAGAGCAAAAGATTTGCTAGATAATTTTAGATTGTAATTGTTTTCTAGTTATTTACGTGTGTTGTGTGGTGATAATTGTTAACTAGCTTATTAATTCTATCTATTTCCAAATCTACAAAGAGGAAAGTTAAACTGATGATTTTCAATTTATAGTTTGTTGAAGTTATGAAATATGAAGCAAAGTTACAGCAATTAATGCTGTTATGTTACATTGAATTTATATGTAATGATATTGCTACACGCAAAAGTTTGAATATTGTTCATGTCTTACAAAGCTTGTTTTTTTTTTTTTTTAACTGAAAAAAAGTTTCTCTGCAGATCTTTGTTTTTTCTTTTTCAGTAATTTTCTCAAATCAAAAATAAAATATAACAAAAATAATGTTGATTAGAGATAATATAATTTCTAATTTTTTAACTTTCTTCACGGAGGATAGAAAGTTAGCTGGTATTTTTTCAAAGCAACTTAGTTTTATTTGATGATCTGTTAGTATCTCTCTTTCTCTCCTGTTGTTTTTCTCAAACGTTCTTTTAAAGAATATGAATTGTTTTTTGTTTTTTTATTAATTCTTTATCTAAGTAATATATTTCACTTTTTCAGATGAAATAAAATGGTAAAGACTGTGGTTTTTACATTGAAAACTCATCATTATTTCATAAACATAATGGAAATAAAATATTAAATAATTATCTCCCTTTATTGACAAGATTTATCTCCCTTTTCAGACTGTTATAGATGAGATTATAGAGATGCAGAAACATAAGAGGAAGAGTGCTGGTCCAACTGCTGGAGAGTACCGAGATTTGATAAAGGATTCTCTAACTACTGCCAGTAAGTTTTGAAGCTATCCCTGTATGTTTAGCCAGTAAACTTTTTTGACTGCCTTGTTTTTCTGATGATTACATGTAACACTATCCCAAGTATATCAAATTTATGACTTATATAGAATTGTCTCCCTCTCATTTCTAAACTACTTATAATCTCAAAATCTATCACTCTATCTGTTGCCATTTGGATTTTTTTATGTATATTTTGAGATTATTGATAAAAAAATGAAAAATATCAAATATTCAGCGAAAACTTTGAACTATTAAATATCAGATATTGTTATTTTGTCAATGAATTTTTGAAATTTTTTTCATTTTGCAAAGTTATGATAATTAGCTTTTCATTTAAAATTTTTTGTTAGAAATCCAGTTCTAAAATCTCAAAACAACATTAACAAAAGTGTAAAAACTGTCTGAAAAAAATATTGATGAAAAAAATTCAGAACTTTTCAAATATTTGATATCTCTATTTTTTAATGAATATTTTTAATATCTAAAATTGTCAATTGTTATGGATTTTTTAAATATTCAAACAGATTTTAAAAACTTTGAAACAAAAACTTATTGTATGAAACATTTACAGTGAAAGCCCAAGGACTGAACGAGAACATACCAGATGACACAGAAATCACACAGGAAGTCATCGAGGCCCTTACAAACGGTTCGCTCACTCCTGAGGATCTGGAACTTGTTCATGACAGTGACAGTGGCAAGAGTATCATCAGATCGCGCAGTCAGATGGCAAGCGCAATGGGAGGGGTCAAGGAAGGTCATATATACGTCTCTGGGGCTAAAAGTAGGTCAACTTTGTCTATTTTTATATTTTCTATTGGTAAATTTGTCGGGTGTTACATTTAATTCTACATCTAAGAGAATGTAAAAATATCCATCAAAAATACATATATATAACTTTGGAGGTATGTGTATGCCTTGTAGAATGAACTTATTGGAATCTTTGTCAATAATTTTTGAGATTAGGAAAAATATGTAATTATGATGTGATTTTAATTCAATTTTATTGATTTTATTGTTTGATTGGTATTGTTATTTGTTGATGTTTTATCATTTCAAATTTATTTTGTTATTTGGCGATATCCTATATCACATTCCCTCTCCCCTCGCTCTCCCACTCCCTCGCTCAACAAATATTGGAAGGTAAAGTCTGCTTGCTAGCTTGGGAAACAGGGTGTTCTTTTCAGATGATTCCTCTGACATAATCCTACATAGACAAAGGAGTGGTATTTTCTTCAAATATTATTTTTTAGATGTTTGCTTTTGTTTTCATTTTTTCTTTTTCTTTAATGAAATCTCTAAAAAAAATATTTTTTTTCATTGCATTGCAATAATTTAACAAGTGATGATAAATATCAATATAAACTATTTATGAGATTTGGGTATTTGGGGCTGTAGATACTGAGGTAATCTGGGTCATATTTTTACACTTTTTTTCTGGAGTTTTGTCCCTTTACAAATACACAGATTTCAATCAAACTGTATACTTTTCAAATCACTGTAGGGTTTTAATGTATTAGGTACACTTGTATAAGTAACTGGGATCTTAATTTGCTTTACAAGTTACATAGTACAAGTGTTGTTTTTTAAACATACTATATACCCCGCTAGTGTGTTTGTGTTTATGCTAGATCATTACAGATACATGAAATATTTCTCTTGTGTATCGTTTTATCAATATTTGAGTAACATTTCTGTTTAAATCACCTTTTTATATTTTTTGGTGTTTGCCCTATTTTTACATGTCACTTCTATACTTTTATTGTTTTGGTTTGGTTTGTTTCATATTGTTAAAATAGGAACACACAATTTTGTAGATAATTTTGTTATCTTACTTTATCTTATATCTGTGTTATTTTTTATTTTTTGGGGTGAATTGTTTTATCTAGATACACATTGAAAAATAAATTTATGTACATTTCTCTGATTATTACTTATATAGTAACAAAAAATATTTTTTTTGTCAATTGGTTTCACAATTCCAAACATTTAAAAAAAATTAGAACAGTTATTGTAAAATCAACAGTTTACATCAAATTCTTCTCTACCTCATTTTAATTGCCATTTTAGATTTAATTAAAATTACAGTTGTAAGCTCTTCATTAAGTTCAAATGTTCTTTGTTTACATGTTTTTATTCATGTTTATTAAATTTGTATCAGATGTCACCGGATAGGGAAACATGCACTTAGGGATGTACAGTAAAGATTTGTTAGTCCAGACAGAAATAACAAAAAAGTATGAAAAAGTACTCTGAGATATATGTCTCTCATACATAAAGGATATCATTCTTCACAAATTTTAGTAAGGATTCATGCTAGGTTGACAACTTTTAGATATTTTGCTTTTTTTTTTTATTGGCTTTTCTCAGAAAATATAAATATCAATGAAATTCTTTGAAGTGAAATCTATTGGGGGACTTTTCTGAAATTAGATATAGGTTACTGAAGAGGATGGGGATGCAGATTGATGAAGTAACAATATGTTGATGACCATTTATAAAATTTCTTGTTCTGGACATTATTTGATTTTTCCCATTATCAAATAAATTTTTTTAAGAATTTCAGTTTAAGTAGAACATCACATCAGACTGGGATGTTGATAAGATAATAAAATAAAATGCTTTCCATACCTATGAAAATATACATATCGAAAATTAATATTGAAAATCGACCACTGCAAAAATCCAAACACATCTGAACATTGAAAAGAAAGAAAATGAGTATTATATACTTTTTTGGTTGTTTGTCCCAGATTTTCAAATCTTTACTATTTTTGTAGTAAGTGTGGTATATGGCGTAGGTTGCTTGGCTTAACTCTGCTCTCTTTCCCTTCGTCCTCCTTCCTGCAGACGGAAAGAAGGCACCTGGGTCTATCCCTGTTGACCGCACCTCAAATGTTGATGTTGGCGAGTTTGACGTTATAAAATATGGCACTGCTGCATCTCAGTCTGGCTCTGAGAAAGCGCCGTCTGAGAAAGCAATGTCTGAAAAAGCAATGTCCGAGAAAGCTCCCTCCGAGAAAGCTCCCTCCGAAAAAGCTCCCTCAGAAAAAGCACCTTCTGAAAAAATTGGTAAGTCACAACCGCCATCAAGAATGGGAGAGTCCATTGTTGAGGAGCCTCCGGAGGTCGTTGAGGCGGACAAAAAATCTACAGTATCATTTCAATCAGAGGGTGAGCCGCAGGTGGATGAGTTCAAGAAGGCAATTGAGGAAATCGAAGAACAGCAGACCAAGGAACCAGAACCACCACAACAGGAGGAACCCAAGCTTCCAGACGAACAGGTAAAATAGGTCGCTGTTAGTAGTAGATAGGTTCTTTGTATTTTAGATTGATTGTATACCCGACCTCCAAACACACTTATATCAATAGGAATGAACACTTTCATGTCCTGCTAATGTTTCCGATTTTATTGTTAGAATTTTCCCAAAAAGTGATGTTTCCTTAAAATCACTTTTAAAAATTTGATTAAATACTTTTAAAATTTTGAACTATTTTTGAAAATGAATTACATAATTCTTTATCGATATCTGGTTCAATTGTAGTACAGTTTTTTTCAGCAAAGCTTGACCTAGTAAATAGGAGAAGTAAAACAATTTATCAGGTTGGATAATCTCTACATCCAAAACATTTGATTTGCTTTAGAATTCAAAGGGTTTCTCTTTCAACAATTTGTTCTTAGAAAACAGAAAACATTATATGTTCATAGAAAACACCATGAACAATATTCAAATTTGTATAATTTTCATTAAAATAATCTGACGCATGTTGACAAATCAGAGAGCTCGGAGTAGAAAAAGCAACAGAAGTCTACAGAGTCACCACAGTTTTCAAAGTCATCGAAGTCGATGCAGCCATTTTGTAAGGGTTTTTGCATGGCAGCCTCATGACTGTTGAAAACCAAATGTATATTTACATCTGATATGAAGTTTGATAATTGCATGATGATTGTGTGATAGTGTAAAAGTAGAATATTTGTTTGTCAGACTCTGAAATAGCAAGAGACAGGTTGTTACATACAGTAAATAAAACGCCTCTGTTACAATAATATCTATTGGATCATCCCTCTGGGAACAGCTTTTGCGTATTCATTCTAGTGACTTTAAGCATATTTATGCCTTATTTTGTTCTGGGTGTGTAAGTTATCATCAGTCAAAGAAAATATTCCTTATGAGAATTCCTTATCAATGACGGGGAAATTATTAAACAATTTAGATTTATTGACAGAATTGTTTTAATGATAATTCAGTTTTTAACTAGTTACAACACAATTCCTAAATATCTATAATAGTGTAAAAATATTTCTAATAAATAACATAAAAAATTTTTAAATATGTAGCCAAGAATTAGAGAATTCTGTATCATTTACAACAAAATTCCTTCTGAATTACGTGAATATTCTGAATGAATGACAGCCTGATGTCAGTTTGATTTTTTTGTGCATGCCCTTTTAATCTGTTGTATGAAAAATTGGATTCTGTGTGTAAGCCTTTCATTGATTAGAATTTTGTTTCATGTAATATTTTCTAAATTAGTTTTATTGCAGACTTTCAAATTGATTAACAGTGTTGTAAAATGTTTGTGTTGAGAATATTAACTGCATTCAGTGTAAAACATTTACCATCATAATGTAACATACACATTGTATCTTCAGCATTATTTAGAATATACCCCAAAGTCTTGATTTTTCAAAATCTATTTAATAAAAATTGGATATTTTAAATTGATATTTAAAGAATTCCATAAAAAAATTTTCAAATTTGTAACATCTTAAAATTCAGCTTGTCAAATTTTAGTTCTTTTTTTTTTTTTTTTGATAATACCTCAGGCATGATGTGACATTTACTGTACCTGGTTTAATGTCAGCATTTTGCTACATATCTGGATATTTAAAAAAAACACTTTTAAGTCTTCATTCCTTAAATATCACTTAACAAATATTGCTAAAATTTGTAACATTGTCATGTATTATTGAAATATTTGAAATATTTTAAATTTTTTACTCTGTTTTATAGAGACAATAATTTGAGCATTATGTAATGTTTAATTTAATGGAGAAATAGAAATCTAGTAATAAGAAATTACAAGAAAGAAGGAAAAAAATCAGGTTTTAATCTTAATTTTATTGTATGCACATTTCCGCTGTATTTAAACAAAATGTTCATTTACGGTAAACAACAACAGAAATGTAGAATTTGTTTGTACTTGTGATCTGAGCTGATCTGAGTATCTTCCTTGTAATCAACAGAAGTCCGACATCAGTAAGAAATCTGATGAGAAAAGTACCAAGAGTGCCAAGAGTCGTGTATCAGACAAGAAGAGTAAGGTGTCTGATTCTACGTCACAGAAAGGGAAGTCGGAACTGGAGAAACGTGATGAGTTTGTTGTCGGTAAGTTAACTCTTTGTAGGATTATAATCTATGAAATTTGAATTATTCTTTGCTTTTGATAAATTTCCATAGATGTATTTAGCAGTAAAATAAAATTTGAAAAGAATTACAGCAACTTTAGTCATAAAACATGAATATTGATTCACATTTCCGTTAAAATCAACTTCAAATGAATGGTTTTAGTAAACAAAAACTTAACACCAATTTGTGTAGAAGTTGATGTCTAAAACCAAGATCAAAATTCTTGTAAATACAGTTGTATGATTACATGATTTTGGATAAAGAAATTGGTGGTGTGTTGTTGTCTGTGCTGATTGATTAGTTTTTTCAGTCCATACTAGTGTTGATTTTACATTTAAATTTCTATTAGAAGTGAAATATACTGCTGTCAGATCGTAATAGATATATTATTCCCTAAATAACCTGATAAGTGCAATGCTTGTTTTTTTTTTTTTTTTTACAAAAACAGAGGGTTGTTCTGTATTACACTGAATAATACTTTACACAGACATAGATTCTCATTTGAAGACATTATGATAGCAGAAAATACAGCTTGAATTTAAAACCAAAACATACATTTCTGCCATATTATTTAATGGCTGGGTATATTTGCGGAAAAATTTTGAGGAATATTATATTGATAGATTAGTATGGTAGCCTTTAATCAAATCTTTAAATTAGTGAACTTATTCCCAGTGAAAAAATGGGCATGCTTATAATTGGCAGTTGAGCTTATTATGTTGAATAGTTATGTAGAGAATAGAAACACTATTTAAATAAATGGTAAACCACCAGTACAGAGAAGTATGTTACTCTCTCAGACATTAAAGAGTTATATCTACTTGTTAACGTTGGATGTTTTATACAATTACTGATGGGTGATGAGGTGAACATGTGTTTTCATGAACCCTATATATATGGTGATGTTCGATCAGGCAAAGTGAAACAGACAAATGAGTTAGAACAGTTGTACGGCCCTGTAGATCCTCCGTCTAAAGAGCCAACTCAGCCCTCAGAACCTGGTGAGATCTGATTCCTTCTCACGATTTGTGAGAATGTTTATTTGTGGTGAAATGTACTGAACTCATCATATTGTAACTGGTGTGAGAACATATCTGTGACATTATTACATTTTAGTTCTGGTATAAAATTAAAGGAAACTAGTTTGATATTCTGTTTTTATATTGGATGGGTAATTGCTGTCCCCCAACTCCCAATAATACTGATCTATTTTCGCATTGCAAGAAATGTTTTTGTATTTGAATTATTTTTTTTAACTAAAAGCTTCTTGAACATGCTGAAAATTCCGCAACAACCCAAAAAGGAATTATTATGTGATGATGTCACAATCAGTTAACAAATACATATTTTGTTTAATTACATGTATATTGTACCTGTTATAACTGCTTGGTATAAAGGTGTGGTTGTATTTTAACTCTGTAAACCATTTTGTTATTAATCTACATATGTTTGTACAAGTGTTAAATGTTTTGATTTAACCAATTGATGTATTCCTATTTTATGTAATGTTATTTCCTGGGTTTACTGTGTAAAATTTCGTGCTCAAACATTTGACTGTTTTCATGTCTAAGAAGACCATTTGAAAGCATTTCGTGGATTTTTTTCTTGCAATTGTCTTTTTTTTAATATGTTCTTTTTTTTTTTTGTTTAATTTTGAAATTTACCTAAAGATTTCAAACTTATAGAAGAATTACACATTGAACGTTAAATTATAGTCTGAGGTCTAAATCATATTTACTCTTTAGTTCATAACTGTCCAGATAAGTTTTGAGCACAAAGTTGTGACTTCAATATATCTTAACTGTGTAATCTGTTTGGATTGAAAGGTACTTAAAATCTACATTAGGGCTGGTATTCACAAAACCTTATCCATCTTGTTTTGGCACTTTGGTTTATAGACAGTTTCAAAAGAGTTTTTAAAATGATAGTCTTTGACACAATAGCAATGCTTCAAAGCATTAGATTAATCAATAACATTGTCCAGTAAGTAAATGGACATATTCATCCAAAAATATTCTTTAATCAAAATTCCAACAAATTATCAACAAGAAGTATCTCAGCCAAATTATTTGAGCAAAATGGAATTTATCTGATGGTGTTCATTTGACTGGGATAAAATCTCTAAATTGTACATATTTTCGAGGGATACTGTTCTAAACTGTAACATATATTTTCTGCTCTGTATTGTGGTTTGTGTGTTTCATCTATCTCATTATTAGCTGTGAAATCATACATTTGTATGGGGAGCAATTTCTAACAGTTTTTAAACAATCATATTTTTGCGGACACTTAATTTAGTGAATAAATGCAGCTCAATAAAAGTACACTGATTTCAGCAGATCGTGGACATATCAATTTCTGGATTGAGAATATCCGTGAAATATACAGAAATAAATTCCCCACAAAAATGAAAGATTTCACAGTAATCTTCTTTCTTGTACATCAATGATATTTTATCACCAAGTATATTAATGTTACTGTAAATCAATTATATTTCGTGTAGGATTTATTTTCGGGTTTATATACTAGGAGAATCAATCACAAATTAAAAGTTATGGCGAGTATTTGTACAGAAATAATTCTGAATGGAATTCGTGATTAGTTAGTTACCAGTATCTGAGTCATGACTAATTGCTCATCATTCGCGAATACAAAGTAATTTCTAGGTCAGCATTCACAAAATCATGTATTCATAAATATGTCTGAAGAAAAAGTTTGCGAAATAAATCATTCACGAAATATAAGTGATTTACATCATGTTATTAACAATGAATGATGCTTTGGAATTCTAAATTAACTGAAAAATGATTTTTTGAGTGAATATTAAGAACTTAATCATGAAATAGTGTTTATAACTGATGAATGTTAATGTCATATTTTGTATGAATATTTATATGAGGGAAGTTTTTTATTGTGAATTTAGTTTTAATTATCATCGACCCTAGTAAGACACAACACATCTGTGTTACATACATACAAGAACAATATCCACGAATCATTCAGTTCATTTGTTCTTTATTATTTTTTACGTCAGAAGAAAAAGATTCCACACCCGAGAGTAAGTGACAGATATTACAGTGTGTATTTATATGTGTGAACTTCACCATGCATTGTCCAGTTTATTTATATATCGTAATTCCAGAATGATTTGATGCTACCATTTTATTTATTCCTGTGTATTCAACTTTATGCCATATCCAACGTAATGTCAATATTGTTTCTTTATTATAATTTTGTATTCTAAATCTTCGAGTTATGTTCTTGACCTTTTGACCTTTAACATTTTCATACAAAAAGTTAACTTTAATTGTTCTACAATAGGACACTGACCATATACAGATCATGTTATGGACAGCCTTAATAAAAATTCAGACATTTTTGCTTTCATTCAAACCCAATGTATTTCTTAAACTTAAGCCTTTTTACACTTATTTTTCTTTATTCTCCATGTACCACTACAAACTCACATCAGGCAAAAAATAGAAATTTGCATTTTTTTTCTCACTGGTTTGAATATTTTTCTGGAAAATGTAATTTTTGGTTGGTTTAAAAATTTTATTTGTATCAGTAATGTGTCCTGGAAGGATAAATCGTCATTTCACAGATCACTGTCGAATGGATTGCTGTAATACACATGCACCCAGTGATTCCTCCACAACACTCCTTATCCTATAAAGTTGTTACCTATATAAGATTTTAAGTTCTTTAATATCGCAAAGGAAATTGTCCACCTGTTAATGTAAGTTTAAAATTGTAAAATGGAAATTTTAATTTCATTAAAATTAATTTGTTTCCCAATATTGAAAGGCGATATTCTTTTTTGTGTCTTTCATGCCATATTAATTTTTCATGTTTCCAGATTTGACATATTTTCCAGTTCAGGAGGAAAATGTTTTTGACAAAAGGAAATGAATAAATAAAAATGTCATTTTCCATAAATTCTTCTGGAGCTGAATTATTAAATTCTTTATGGAAGAACTGACAACAGAGCAAATGGAATATATTTTTGGGTTTAATTTACCTCACATAAGGAAAAATTATAATTAATACTGATATAAATCTCAACTTTTCAGCAAAAATATGGAAAAAGTTCCCTTAATCTTCTCAAAAATCTGTTTCTCCTGATATTTTAACTGTACTGCAAAGGTGAAAAGGTGAAACTATTTTTTTTTGCTGTTTTTAAACTCCAAAAGATTTGGCCTGATGTTGGGGATTTAGTATTGTATGCATTAGTGTTGGATATTAGGTAAGGAACATAATATAGTAGAATTAAAAATGATCACAGGCCAATAATCAACACACAAAGTATGATGTTAAGTCATGATTTACACAACATACATAGTTTTTTTTTATAAATTTCATGAAGCTGATTAAAATTTTACTAAATTTGGGTCCTGATGTATTATAAATGTTGTATGATACATTACACATATGATAGAAAGATTTGTGGTAACCTTTTAGTTGCTCCCCCCAAAAAAGTGGAAATGCCACGTAAAAAAGCAGCAGAACCCGTGAAAAAGAAAGAAGAACCGGTGAAAAAGAAAGAAGAGCCGAAAAAAATTGTGGTGAATCCACCACAAGTAGAAGAAGAGTTATCTACCATTCCAGAGGATGGTGAGCTTACACTCAAAGCTCTGGATTGTGATTGGCTGTTAATTGCAAAGCTGAACTGCAACACTGTTTCTGATTGACTAATACTTACGACAAAGCTGGAATGTTACACTATTTCTTATTTGCTAATAAGTTTCAAAATGATACACTATTTTCTATTGTCTAATGGATTTCAACGATTGGAATGTTTCACGTTTTGTTCTGTTTTGTTGATTGCAAAACTTGAATGCGTTTCACAATTTCTGATTGGTTGATGTTTTCAATGCTGAAGTTTTTACACAAACTGTGTTTGATCTATAAAAACTGAAATGATGACACTGCTTATATAAATGAGTTCATTACAAATGTGATTTTCTAATTTTTTAGATACAGGTGTTTATTTGATACAATTCAAAAAGTTCTTGTAATGGTGTCATCAATTTCAGCAATTTCTTTTTGCATTTTGTTTTCTGTGCGTTAAACAAGCATGGCCACTGGTCAGTCACATGTCTGTCATGTCACTGCAGGTCTTTTTAATTTTTTTTCAGTGTTATTTTGATTTCAAAGTAATGGATGTTTTTCTTTTTTGAACTTATTACAGTTTTTTTTTCTTATTTCAGTGTTTTAATCAGCTGTTAATATCCTAATGCTTGAATTCATATTTCAGGGTCTTATACTACATTTTCATTGTAAATTTATATGTCTTTTCCAGAAAACCTTAAACTGAATAGGGAGTAATGCACATCAGAGATATTTAGTTGTTTTACCATACACACATGGTCTTTATAGAAATTAGATATTTATACAAATAAAGGTGAATTTTACATTATGTTTGATAATTAGATAGTAAGACAAAAAAGTACCAAGTGAAATAAAACATTGTACATAACAATTTGATAACAGGATTGTCATAACAAAGGGAAGATAACTCACAATTTGATAACAGGATTGTCATAACAAAGGGAAGATAACTCTTCTGAATGGACAAATTGTTTGAATAAAAAAAATCACATCCTAGTCTCAGCAGTGCAGCATTTTGATATTTTAGGCAAACCCAATTTCAAAGGAGAGTTGGAAAAACTTTTTGGAAAATTACCAGCGAATAAAGACAAGGGTGAGATAACTCTGGCACTACCTGAGTCTTAGGCATGGTCTGGAGCACCTGACTAACTTTCACCGTTCTATCTGACTTTTGTTATATCCTATGTGTTCACCAACACTGTGAAGCAGGTTTATTTTTCACCGTTGAAATAAATCAGATCCTGTTTAAGAAAAAAAAGAATATTCAAATCAACATTTGACTATTATCATTAACCTTGAGATAGAATAATAACTCTATGACAAACAGGTAGATATTATTTAATTGCATTTTTACCCAAAATGATTCCTTAATTTCCAATAGTTATCAAAAGTTTTGTTTTTTTAGGAGACAAATGTCAATCGAACATGTTGATAAAAATATTTCAGTTTCTTTACTCTCCACCTACTTCATTATATAACACATTCCCAGATTGTATTTACATGGAATTTGAGGATAAAAACAATGAAAATTTTTGTCTGAAATTACTCGAAGTTATTGGTATGATTTCTTGTAAATTTTGAAAAAGAAACTTGCTTACATTACAGTGTGTTTAATCTTATTATTCTTTTCACTTCGAAATCACTGTTCTATTTATTTCTTTATCTTAAACTCATTTTCTCATTAATTTTGTTCTTGAATAAAATGTCAATGATCTTAAATTTGGTAAACAAAAGTATATCATCAGTCACAATTTTCATTTATTTTTATATATTTTTTTTACTCCAAAAAAGATATGACAAAATGATACTGCTTTGACAACAATTATCACCATGGATATTTTAAACTGTGTGTAAATAACCTACGATATATGATACATCTATATTGACAGTTCCTCATGTAGACACTGATTTTTTGAACCCTTTTTCAAGTTACCTATTTAGTATCACTCTTTCTGAAATGAAATGTGTGCTTGCTTTTCTTTATGGTTACAATCAATATCTTCTTCTTAACAATTCACTTCAATAAAACTTGACCTTCCTTCGCTGTCTCTGTCGCTAATTGAAAGCTATACACTTTATATTATTGAATGTCTTAGAAGAAATCTATTTGTGAAAAATGGTTATATTAAGGACTAATTGACCTATAATCAGTCACTAATTAATTCAATTTCATTAAATAGTTTAATCCAATATACAAGTTTCATGTTCATGTTTAAAGATATTTCTATATAAAATTAATAATGTTTTGAAGATTACATAAAAACTTCGAATATTTTTATTCTTTCTTTTTAAACTTCCAAAACAGGTAATCTGCACGTTTATCTACATTTTCCTGTATCTATGTATGGTGTTATTAATACAAACTTAAATATTGTCTACAGGAAAACCAAAAGACAAGAAGCCCAAAGCATCCCCACCTCTGAAGAAACCAAAAGAAAAAGTTAAAAAAGGCAAAGGGAAAGGAAAAGCTAAGAAAGAGGAAGAAAAGGAAGCAGAACCCCCTCCAAAAGAGCCCACTCCCCCACCTCCTAAAGAACCGACCCCACCCCCACCTGCCCCCGAGGAGAAACCTGACGATACAGAGTCCCTGCGGGTAAGCTACAAATTTTTTTACATTGATTTATCAATTACATTTACCTGTTAGATATATTGATTTCAAATTTTCTTTCATGCTTTGTAAATATAGGTGTCCCTAGAGAATATTGAAGTTCATACAATTTTTTTTTCTCTTATTTTAAACTGTGCAGAGCATTCAAGTTATAGCACAGTATATACATATACACATTGCTGTGTAGTACACAAGATAGTCGGTTCACAGATCTTTTTTAAGATTACAGTGACAGAATTTAAGCAGGATATCTGTAAGATTTAAACAAAGGATTTAGGGACAAATACGAGAGTGTGGATGTTATATCAACAATATGATTTTAACTAAGCACAACGACTTACAGAATGATATACTTATTCCTGCAAAACCATAGCAGGTATCAGTGAATATTTTTCTTGTGACTCGGATATCTTTTTTGAAGTCGGATGACAGTAATTGAGTAAAATTTAGAAACCAACGCTAATACTGTCGTGATACTAGAATACATATTTATACAATAAAATGATGGACGCTTCTAGTAATCGGATATTTATCAGATTATTTCTTAGTAAGCAATTTATCGCATTTATAGTGTTGAAAATACACACCCAAAGAAAGATGATTAATTTATATAGAGGCTTTGGGTAAAATAGTTTGTGGAAGGAAAGAGGAGTGTTCATTGCACAGTGGAATTGGCAAAGCTAGGCCACGTCGATAGATCACCAGGAGCTGTTTATAGTTAGTTTCGACATTCATCTCAAGCTCAGAGTTTTCGTGATTTTATCCGACGTGGGAAATTTGTTTTTATACATCGTTGTTATTCGTTTCAAATTAATTATATGCAAAACAATATTGTATCTTAATTTCAGAGAAAATCTATTCAAAAAAATGTAGATTTGAAGATGAAGAAAGCAAGGTCAAAGGTACCAAATGTTTGGTGACTTCAAGGTCATTCACATGTAATGTAAAAAATCAAGTTTGCATGTGTTGGTCTATTGCACAGACAGACACAGATCACTCAAAGTGTGTCACTTTTCTGTCATCAATACAGTCAGCATCTGTTTGTTGAGTTAACTATTGTAAGAAGTAAAACAAATGGGTCAGTTTTGACTATAATCTTGACTATAATTTTTTTGAAAATATGAAGAAATGTCAGTTACGATGATAGATCTGATTAACGTCTTCTACTTGTAATAGTTTTATAATTTAATGCCTACATATTTTGTTTTAATTTTCTTTCGAATAATAATTTCAGAATAATATCTTTTCACTCTCAAAATAGTGAGGTTTTCACTCCAGCTACAATAAGATTTCTTTCTAATTGTTGTGTAGTGTGTGTTTTCAAAGATCACAAATCATCTCTTGTTTGCCTTTTTCATTATCACCTGACAGCAATACCTACATACATCAGGTTACCTTCATATCAGTTCATCATTTGAAAACACTTCTATTTTTAGAACGCCAGATGATACAGTTGTTACCACAGTAGTGTAATCTGTCCGAATTTACTAGAAAATGTTTAATCAGGAAAATGATATAGGAAAAAAACATTTGTGAAAATTAATAATTGTTGATTATTTAGAATTTATTGATTTCTATTGTTATTTCATCAATTTTTTTTATTTTTTTAAAAATTATCCTGTGGTGGTAAAGAAGTAGTTATTTGATTTTTGACTTATCTTTTAGTATGAAGTATTGGTTGTCTAATGTATTTATGACAGTTTTTATGTTTTTCAATTATGTATTTTCTGAGTATATTCTGAGTGAATATATCATTGTCATGAGATGGCAATTTTTCGTTTTGTCAGTTGTGTACTTTTTTTTGGTATTGAATATTTCGTTGCCATTGTCCATTTTTTTACTCTTTGACCTTTGACCTTTAGGAGTCCATAGTCGAATCCTACAAATCCGAAGAGGAGTCGGACTTTGAGTTCAACATTGTACGGGATTCTCCATCACCTGAACCCATTCAACAGTCTCTTCCGTCACTGCCGTCTTACGATGATAACACTGAAACTGAGAACGAGGACGACGAGGAAGATGTAAGTCATGTTTAATCTTGTTTTGATTTATATTTTATTCAGTCGCATGTTGTATCCTTTTACAAAACAAAATTTGTTATATTTCCATTTAACGTCATATATTATATCTACCCGGCTCTAATGCCAATCTTTAAAAGAAACTATCATTCTTATGATAAAGAGAATAAAGAGCATTTGGTGTTTGTCCCAGTGTTAGTTATTTCATGAGATCTGAGTTTCATTTAGATGTCTTTAGAATATATTTGTAAAGTTTGACATTCACTGTAAAATGCTTTCTGATTATTTATTTTCACACTGTCCGTAATGATGGCGAATATGTCAAATATTAAACCCCTCTCGAATATTGTCAACTTTGCAGTATTTGTTGGGTGTGACTTATATCCAAGTAAAATTCGGCATAATTATAACAATAGTATTTTATTATAGATCTAACAGATGCACTTAGTTTCAGAAGATATATAATTTCTCTGAATTTCCCGAATTCATGAAAAATATAATGTTTGTATGTCTCAGGACACATTAAAAAATTGGTAATCATTTAAACAATGAAAAATGTGAAATAACATTAAAAATTTCCAAATTATTGATACATGAGTTTTTAGTTTAAAATGTCAGAAATTATCTTCAATTTTAGTGTCCAACATACCATGTTCCGTTATTCAGTGTTGGCTTTGGTGTGTTAAGATAATATCACATTTCTAGTTGATTTCTTACTTATATTTGAAATTGTCTAAAATCCTTTATGTGCTTTTCAGGTTTTTTATACTCAAGATAAAAAAGATGTATTTTTACTGCATTTGAAATATATTTATCATCTATCATACAGTCCTTAAAAACATTCATCAATTGAATTGTTGTAATGCCATATTGATTAGGTACAGATAATTAGATTAAAGAGAAACAAGAAATTTAGAAGATAAAATTCAATCATCATATCATTAACATAATATCACCTTTAAAATTGCTGATTAACATAGGTATAAAAAATGAACTGCGACATTTTCAATTTACTTTCCTAAGGAGTAGAAGTGAATATTACTTTAATGATAAAAAATATTTTCTTGTTCCAGAGAGGAAAGGTAATTCTCCTGATAACATGTGACTGTTCTAGTCTTGTATTAACACTCGTGTCTACAGTTATTATATGCAGCAGTTATAAAGAGCAATTTCACCACCTGTAATACTGTTTAAGGTTTTGTATTTGTGTCGCTGTTCTTTTGGTGGTATTAAGCTATTTTAAGTTTCATTGTTCTAGTTTTGATAGATACTCAGTTAAGATACTTAAAGAGGTATAATTTTATTTCCATATTAGTGGTATTTTATTTCTGTGGTTTAATACCATTCATGAAAACCATGAATGTTTGTAGTTAGCTAATATTTCATTTTTTACAGTACTATAAGTTTCAAGGAAATAGATAATTTAGATGAAAAAATGATACCACTTATCAATAAAAGTTCTAATTGTTTTCAATTTTCAAATAGATAAATTTTGTATTTTTTTTAATAATAAGAACATCTACAGTACATTTGTTGATGAAATGAACAGCATTTCAGTTTAAGAGGGATTAAAATTGGTGTAAAACGCCAAGGGTAGAATTTGTGAACAAATATGTAAAGTCTGATGTAATGGGAGGCATGAAAATTGGCAGTCATGTAGAGATTGATAAGAAATAATTTTTGAGATATGTGTTTATTTTGCGAGTAATTATAAAATTAATTTAAATGATAGACATTTCAGACGGTTTGAAGCAAGAAGCAAAATTATACAATTTTATTATATTGAAAATATTGTTCATTGCTAAACAACATTGGTTAGTGTAATTTACCTGTAGACACGAGGAAACCCACCCACCCACCATTTTATTTTCATAATTGATTTATATTCATTGAAATGTCACATATATATACACAAATTATCTGTTCACATGTTCTTCTATGTCCACAACTTTCACATGTTAACAGTTTGACTTCTAGTCTAGTGCGTTTGATCTCCAGTTTGGTCTACCACGAAGACTTTGTGTTTACTGGTCTAGGTGCCCTTGTGGTTTGACTCCGTAAATGATGACTTGTGTTAAGCTACGCTTCTTGAAATTGAACTGTGGATGTAGTTTGTAATGCTTGCGAATTATCATTCCATTATTCTAAGATGAAAGATGATACATAGTGAATATTTTCTTCTTATACTTTGAAATGTAGGTTCAGTTTTTGCTCATGAATATTGTAAGGTTTAATTTTAATGAAGGACGTAAAGAATGTATTCAAAGATACAGTTTGATACGTTTAATGAAATCAGAACAAAAATACCATGAACTTTTTGCACTAGTCACACACTCAGGACAGTGAGGGAGATGTTCAATAACTCTACTTGATGAAGTTACCAACCTGCCTGTTTACAAATACAATATTGATAATAAAATAACACAATTTGTTTTTAATATTCCAAGATATTTCAGTCTGTTGATAGTCAGTGCCAGGTGGTAAATTAATATATTCCTATTGTATCAAACAAAGTCACTGCCTTAAGATTGATTTATGTTTAATCATCAAGATGTAGCTCAATGTTGTTATCGGAGTGATACACCTGGTAGATAAAATATCTAGGTAGTTTGGTAGGTATGGTATAGTTTGGTAGGTTATTGTTAGTTTGGTAGGCCTAAGTGCTGTGTGTTTGTACAATAGTCTTGATGAAGCACTGGTCTTATACAAATTAAACTTTTAAACTAATATCATATCTAATATTTGGTATTAGTGACAATAATTGTATAAATATTTGTAGTAATTAGGATGTGTTTTTGATATATATACTTTGATGATAGTTGACAGATAGGATTAGATAAAATATAATTTCATTATTTCAGTAATTTAAATGATGATTGAAAAAATATGTATATTTCAGGGTTCTGCCTCTTTCTTTTTTTTAAATCTGTTTTGTAGGTGTGTGATAATTAATTTCCCATATTATTAATGATTAAAAACAATATGATTATTATATGTTACAAACTAATTAGATATTAGCTGATTGATTAGATTTAATGTGTTAGTTGTAGATTTTTATTTGATAATTTAAGCAATACTTAGAGGAAATAAGGCTCAAATTAAAGTCTGCGCAATGCCTCATTTTTTGGACAAAATTAACTGACAATTACAGAATTATTTGAACACTTGAAAGTATCCATGCAAATTTCATTTCTCATAATAAGTGAAAATGTCATTTGAAGAAATAAATTATTTCTGGTACCAAAATAGTTTTAATCTTGGCCTCCATTTCTGTTACCTAATTAAAGTGTTAATTATTTAATGAGAACCAGATCGATAAAATGATAATTTTTCTTTATATTTGTTTCTTCGGCTTGCTACAGAAACAAAAACGACAGGTAAAAATCACCTAATTAATGCATACTTTTTAATTTGCATGTTGAATATCTTGTTCAGCATGCCATTTATTTTTAGTAGATTTCACTTTCTTTTTCAGAAATTCTTTTAAATACTCCATAAACCTTTATTTTCTGTTAATATCTTAATCATAGACCTTGAAAGTGACAGTGTAAGTTGAGAAGCTGTTTAAATGAGATTGTTGAACCAAGTATTATGTTTTCAAAATTGCCATTTGGATGTATCATCTGGACGTCGTATCCAAGAATTATAGACATTTTAATATCTATCCACTGTTGAAAATATTCTGAAAGCTGTAACTATTTTTCAGTCTCATTTTCACAACATTTCAACTTGCACTGTAAACATTTGTCATATTTTTTATAACTTCAAATTGCTAAATGTAACTTTAAGATATGGTATAAATAGTTATTTTAACTATTAATGTTTCCAAAATTAATTTCCCGATAAATACATACATGTACTAACACTGTCATAATTATAGATTAAGGAACAAACATTGAAAATTAACTGAAACATTTATTCTTTCATTATTCGTACAAATGTACATGTTTTTAATTTTGAAATAAACTCCAACATAGGTTTATGATTAATTCATTAGAGATGAAATGTCTAGAAATAGGTGAAGAACCTGTTGACTGTTTGGTTATCAGTGTAAAAGCTCAATATAGCGTAGAATTTTATCATGTTTTATTTGCAATAAAATAACGAAAACAAATAAAAACTTGTGCACAGAATCAAAATTATTTTAATTTTTTTTTCATGCTTTATATTTTGGGGAAAAGTAGTGGGTCGGTTTGGTTAATTTTTTTTATAAATTTTTATATATATACATATATATATATATTAAACACTATTTATGACATGATAGGCATATCAGTGGAATATTTCGAGATAACAAAAGTGACCAGAAATAATGTATCCAAAAAGAAGGGAAAACGTATATTTTTGAAATACAATGTACCAGATATGCATGAAAAAATTAAAAAAAATAATGATAGATAGAAAAACCAAAAAGCGTAATTATTTTATTTATCTCTGTTTTTAGATTGATTGGTAGACTTTTTAACAACTGTTATTTCTTAAACAGTCCTTTCAATAATCATGCCATGAAATTTAATATTCATTACTTCATTCTCTAAACATTTGAAATGCTGATGTTCTACATTTGTTTCGCTCCATAAAATTACGATTGTGTTCCACATCAGTGCTTATTAAGTCTAGTAGCACTTTTTTATCATACATTTATGAAAATATTTTTTTAAATAGTTATTAATTATTAATATTATTCAATGCTGTATTTGTTTCTCAAAATATTCTTGGATTATAATAAAATCTAATTTATGATTTTCAAATATTTTGAAAATTGTTAATGACTTAAAAAATCACTTCAGTTTCTAATATGCATCAAATCGTTTTAACGTTAATATACTCTCCAATTCTATGATAAATGTATACTGTATGCTTAGTATGCTTTTGTGGAAACGATGTCAATTTATTGCACCAGTTGGATATTGTGTCAGGAAGTTGTTTTTTTAAATTGATTTCAATGAATGTGCATTGTTTACTTGCATGATTTTTTGTTTATTTTTAATGCCTTAAACATAGAGGGCTAAGAAGCAGAAGGTAATTTGCTTGAATTAGTACTGTTTTTTATGTGCAGCCTAAGCTTAATTAGCACAGTGTTAAATTTATGTGTGTTTTTCTCTTAGTTTAGTTTTATTTCAAACATTTTAAAAGTCAGTACTTCTGAGTGATACTCTCTTGTTTTATTTACTGAATATCACATTTATTCATAGAAATATCTAATACACAGAACAATTTTGAATGACAAAATAAATACGACAGTAAACTATTAAGTAAGAAACTAGATCAGCGATTTCTACATTTTTTTTCTTTGAAAATCAATCTATTTTTAAAACTAATTAAGAGTAACTTATGTATCTACCGGGTCATTAGGCAAAAAACAAACAATAATGATAGATATGATTCACTCATATTTTCAATGGATATGAAACAAAATTTAAAACAGTTATTATTCCAGTGTATACTGTGAATTCTAACTTATTCATAAATTTGTTGGTATTCATTGTGGAATCCCAGGTTAGATATCGGTCATATTTCGCCCTTGTACTGGCTCCTGAAACCCAGTGTCAGAACAACACACATATTAAGATGCCATTCTACATATATAATCATGTGACAGTGATTTACTGTATAAGGGAATATATTAAACAGAAGTTCACTCTGTATTTGAGGAGCTATATTTTGGACCCGAAACAAATTCTCAACTGTTGAAATTGGGGAGATACAGCATTGCTTTGATATGAACATGCTGTGAGATTTTCTAAAATTGATTCTCACAAGAAAGTAGAAACAAAATCACTGTCTATAGAAATAATTTGCACAGTATTTATTATGTGTTGAGATCTTTGAGTCTAAGACCTCTTAGTTTCAGTTTTCAGTTGCTGTGAAATTATATCTAATTTGGCGCCATTGCTTGATGTAGATTATTTGACAGAATGCTGAAAACGCTTTAAGTGTTTTATCACCCGAGGGAGAAGCTTGCTGTTCCCTACATCTGCAGCAGCTGTTGATCGACAAAATATTTAAAAGCTGCACAAAAGCTTTCACCTGCAGTTTGCTTAATAGCAAATACTGAAACCATATATAATACATGATGATAACCTGTAAAGTTTTGTAGTATTCAGGACCACCGAACACAAATAAACACTCTACTCTGAAAAGCCACCTGATAGCGTGTTTTTTTTATTTTTTTATTTTTACATAGTGCTTAATTCCATTATAAATTGTATTTAAAACATTTGACAGAAAAATATACTAGTGTTATTTTTAGAAATATCGAAATGTAATGCAAACATACTCATAGCTTTTTGATAGAGCTCTCTGCACTCGCAGCAAATGCTGACGCACATTAAAATATATATTAAACAGAAATATGTATACTGTATAAAGATCGCATTATGTCTTTGAGGTTGTAAGAATGAGTCATGTTATTATAGTCACATCATTGAAAAAAAGATGTCTTTTTGTTGTAAATATATTGACATACAGGTTTAAAAATATATATTGAATTTCTAGAGACCATGCTTGGGAAAAAAAGATAAAACATCCTTTAAATCATATATGCTGAGTTAGATAACATAGAATTTATATAGTTAAGTTAGGGAGTTAAGACATTTTTACAAAATCAAGGGAGATCACTCTGTTGACCATGATAATGATAAGATGATCTTTTTTATGATTTGTAAAGGATGAAGCTGCAAGACTCCGACAAATTTCCAACAGGGAAGCCCGCGCAGCTAAGCGTGCTGCACAGGCAGAGAAACGTCGTCAAGAAGTAGATCGCCGTCGTCGAGAACGAGATGAACAGAGTAAACGTGAGAAAGAAGAATGGGAGCGCCAAGAACTCCTGAAACAGGAACTGGAGGAAGCAAGAAAACGTAACGAAGAAAACAGGAGGTAACCATGCTTATTTTGACTGGAATGACTTTGCCAAGGTCTTCATCATGTTGGGATATATTTGCAAATAAAATATACATACATAATTTCTTGTAATGGTAAATCAATTTGAAATGGTTGTTAACAAATTTATTATTTTCATTGTTATTTTCTACCAGGAAACGGAGAGAGGCAGAAGCAGCAGAGAATGCAAAAGAGCTTGAAGAGGAACAAAACAGACAACGACAGTTACAGGCGGAACAGGAACGAGAGAAGAGAAGAAGGGAAGAGTATCAAAGAAAACTTGAAGAAATGAAAAGGAAACAGATCTTAGAAGAACAAAGGAAACAAGGTAATTTGTACTGCTTGATACTTGCTAGCTAGAAAAACGTAGATATTCAAATTACGCAAAATTCAATCGATTCTTTCGGATGTTTTATCACCACAACAGCTATTGTCATCCCATCATATCAGTCATTAAATTAACAGGATGAAATAATTACAGAGAAATTACAGTCAGACATAGAAGGCAATTATTGTTTTATTATAATGACACAAGAGGTTAGACAGAATTGACCATACAGGTATCAGTTTTGAAGAGATTGGAGAAAATCTGCTTCTTCTGGGATTAAAGAAGGAAAAGAGGAAATGTATTTGCCTTTTGTTTGTGTTTACAGAGGAAATGTAGTTGCCTTTTGTTTGTGTATTTACAGTGGAAATGTAATTACCTTTTGTTTGTGTTTACAGAGGAAATGTAATTACCTTTTGTTTGTGTGTTTACAGAGGAAATGTATTTGCCTTTTGTTTGTGTTTACAGAGGGAATGTAATTGTCTTTTGTTTGTGTTTACAGAGGAAATGTAATTGCCTTTTGTTTGTGTGTTTACAGAGGAAATGTAATTTTAATTGCTGTTTATTTGTGTGTTTACAGAGGAAATGTAATTGCCTTTTGTTTGTGTTTACAGAGGAAATGTAATTACCTTTTGTTTGTGTGTTTACAGAGGAAATGTAATTTTAATTGCTGTTTATTTGTGTGTTTACAGAGGAAATGTAATTGTCTTTTTTTGTGTATTTACAGAGGAACTGATGAAGAAGATGAAGGAAGAAGAAGAGCGACGTTTGGCTGAGGAAGAAATGATGGCAAAGATGGCTGAAGAAGAGCGATTAGCCTATGAGGAAAAGAAAAGAAGGGAAGAGGAGGAGAGAAAGAGAAAGGAAGAAGAAGACAGGTACAATAATTCCTTCTTAAGAATCATATTGGATTTTGTATAAATAATCTGATTTCCTCTTTGTCTGCTTCTCTGAATTAAAATTTGTAATTATCAGTTCCCTTCAAACCCTTTAATGAGGTTTATATGGCACAAATAGGGGAAAATGCCTTAATATAACAGTATCCTGTTGTGATTGAAATCGTTTAAAGAAAATAAGCTGTCAAAATGTATCAAGTTTTACGTAGTGTTAACTATATCAATTCCTACCATAAGATCCCTTTTCGCTCCACCCTGCCACCTGTCCCATTTTGAATCAATGTCATTATATGAGAACTTACAGACTTAGTCTGTATCTACGTAACCAAAGTCTTAATTTCTCCGTCCTGATTAGATTCTGGTTTGTACAACAGTGAAGACGTTTGTGTCGTATAAACAATAAGAATAGTTATGGTGAACACTTGTTTTACATGATTTCTTTCTCCGCCATCAGGATCAGAAGAGAGGAAGAGGCAAAGAAAGCTATGGAGGAAGCACGCAAGCTTGCTGAAGAGATGGCACGGCGACAGGCGGAGTTAGAGGCCCGCCTAAAGTTCAATCACACCATACAGGTCGAGTCTTCTGGCATGACCCACTCGCAGAGTATGACTCGGGCTTTCGTATTCTCCTACTATGAATTACTGTCCTGGCTTGGACTTGATATCCCTGAGTTTGAGCTGCTAAAACTCAATCAGTATTAGAACATCACTGTACATTCACGATATTTTGTTCCATTATGACTTAAGTACAATATCGCTAGGAATGGCCTAACATTAGTCATTATTATACAATAGTTAGTTAAATCCATTTAATTATGTCTGACTGGCCTTAAAACTGCTACTAGAGATATTTTGAATTAATATTTTACATTTCAAGTACATTTATGATGTTATGTAAAAATTGGGACATCGGTATTTTCAATTTCGATTCAATTTTATCATTTTTTAAAAAATTTACTGTGACTTTTAATGGGAATGGTTGAACATATTTCACTGTTATTTAGTGTTAACAAATAAAGACCTGTATAAACTCGATGGGTAAATGGGAGATTATCCTTTACTCCCAAGTTGATCAAGAAACACCGATGATTTCTAAGGTAACAAAATGAGATCCCTTTATTTATTTAGCATTACTTGGGTAGCAACATTCTCACACGTTTGTAAGAAGCACTGAAAAGTATATATAGAAACGCTGAAATAGGTTCAATAATTTTCATGGAAATCACTCACTGGGCACATAGGCTTAATTCTTAAATAGTTGTCATTGTTATCAATATTCAAATTGATGTGATACTTACAAAATATTGAAATATATCTTTGAATTTTAAATTTTTAAACCGAAAATGCTCTTGACTGAAAAGTTAGATTTTTCAGTATTTTTTATTTTTACTTTACGATATATCTAGATTGATTTGATGAACATGTTCAATCAATGTTTTTATAACAGCCGTCCAATTATCAAAGTTATTTCATATTGTATTAATTTCTTATACAAATAAAGGAAAATATGTGTAGTGATGTATATATTTAAAACATATCTCTATTGCTTATTGTGATATTTGGTAGTTATTGATTTTTTCAACTACATAACTTTTAACATTGTTGAAAATATGGTAAGAAATTTTCTGGTATTATTTTCCGTCCACAAAAGTTGATCTTTGTGAATTTTTTTATCCTGATCATATATTTCGAAAGATTTTCAAATTGCTCAAACAGTAGTGTGATATAAACGTTGAAGTAATTTTGTAAATTTTAGCACGGTAATTTACATTTCTAGCTAATTGTTCTGGCTGTGATCACTTAGCCATGCTTTTGATAGGTATTGATAACATTCAATATTAGTACAAATTGTATAGTGTCAAAATGTATGCTGTATCCCTACATGTCATATTTATTTTATAATAATTGGATGAGGAGAAATTTTATATTTTGATCCTATTTAAAATACTTTAAAAGGAAAGATGTATTTTGTTTTGTCACTGCTTTTTACACCAGATTAATAACATATTTTGGCACACAACCAAATATTACTCAAATACGTATGTGTGGACAAAATATTCTGAAAAGTCTTTCAATGCAGATTTAAAACAGATGAAAATGAAATATATCTATTTTGAAAGTAAGATAGTTTGAAAAGTAGTTCAGGTATCTGGTTTGCCCTGTTCAATTTTCTTTTTAACTAATCCTATTGAAATAACAATACTTTCGTCAATTCCAATGTTAAAATCTGAGTGTATTTGAATTTTACCAGCTATATTGAAAACAAGTATCGTTTACTGTGTAATCTGTTAGGTAAAAAAATATTGCTATTGGCAAGTAATTATGGTAACTCGTGGTTTTTGTAAATCGTGATAAATAAGTACGGTGCTGTTACTGCCAAAACACTGGTAGCCGTTCCTAATATACATTGTATACTTTATATTTATTTCCCTTTTTTCGTAATTCGTGTTTACATATGATATTTATCACCATTATATTGTTGATTTTCTGAGTTATTATCATTATTTATTTGTTTCTAGTTAGATAAAGATTATTTTTAGTTTCCTACAGGGTAGACACAAGGGTTATGGTATAAGTATTTCCTCTTTATTGACTAATATCTCAGCCAGGGTTTTTTTTTTTTTTATTTTTTTGTTAAACACTGTCAGGAGGACACGATCAATGAATTTTATTTATATTTCTCCTTTAGAAGATGCTAATATCACTGAAACAATGAAATTATCAGATTATACATGAGACTGGTCTAAAGTATATGACTATTAAACTGTCAGTGAAGGCACAATTATTTCATAGTTTATTCCTTTCACCTTCCCCGTATATGTTAAGTAATGTGAGATCATTATCATCTTTTTTTTTTAACTTTTTATCTTGCCAGGAAAACAGCGTGATGAAAAATTTGTTAGCAGTTTACTTGGTTGGCTTCTTATATTATGATATATTGGCATTGACACGTATTTAGATTTGGTCACAAGACTTTTTCTGCGTGCTTTTATATTTTGAAATTACCATCGGGTTTGTTCTCTCTCTTTCTCTCTACAAAAATAAATTTGACAGGTTTTTTGGGAGACTGATTTGTATGGGTTGCTCTATAATGGAATGTAGTCATTCTACAAAATAGCTATTTATAGATACTGAGAATTGCATTTCAGATAGAACGTTTTGATTTGATTATATTTCAACATTACAATATATTGTATTATTTTGTTTTCTATGTTGTCTTTGGATTAAACCAGGGAATCTGAGACTGGAGTTCGTCAGTCGTAAGCTTCAAATTTCACCAACAACAGAAATATACAGGATTGATATGTGTTAACTATAAATTTACACCCTGCCTTCCTTGCATGGCAAAACAGATGGCATCATGAAGGGATTAATTATATCATGACGACCAAAAAGGATTTTATAAGAATTGAAAATACACAAGCATATTTTATCTGTCTTGTTCAATGACTTGGACATAAAAAATTTACATTGAAGGAAATTATGGACACTGAAAACGTTAGTGAAATTACATGAAGAGAGGGACATTATATCAATGTACCTATGTCTTCTGTTTCTTTACACAGCAAGGAATAGATGAGAAAAAACCCTCATTAGAATCATGTAATCCGCTATTTACAAATGTAGGGTATAGGTGTAGTCGAGCACATTATTCACCAATAGCGTCATTAGATACATTATTCCAGGGGAGACAACTGTGGTTAATTCTGGCTGATTTTATGTTCTTTAAACCTGGTTATATATTCCAGGTCAATTGTATGTGTTCATTAAGCACTTTTCCATCTGAAATAAAAATATTGCATTTTTTCTTAACTGTTTGTTTATCTTTACATACCTAGCTACAAGGACTTATCAATAAGTTGTGAGGCTCATATTTAAGGGTTTGGCTTTTGGCAGACATATTGCTTTATTTTTCAACATTATCCGCTTCAGTATCTATGTACTTTTGCAATGTTTAAGATGTTTAAGGGCCTCAGAACATCCTTCACTGCATGTATGACATCATCATCTGACTGAAAGTGGATACCGGAAATGGTCATTTTCATTTTGGAAATAGATGAAGGGATGATGAAGCGAGATAGGACGAATAAGGCATAATCAAGCTCATTAATTGAAAGCCACAATCGTTAATGGCAGCAATGACAATAACAGACTTGTGAACAGGGATGTTGTCCTGGTGGAAAAAGGACACCTTTATTGAGTTTCGTGGCGCTTGAATTTAATATTCTCTCTTAACTCCCAAAGAAGTGATGCTTAATAAGAGCCATTGATTGTTTGTCCCTTTTGCAGATAATCTTCCATCAGCATCCCACGAAACCTAAGTCATAATCTCTCCAGCTGAGGAACAGTCTTTACCAGGTGCTTCCATTGTTTAGACTGTTATTAGGTCTCTGGGGTGAAATGATGGAACCATATTTCATCCATAGCCACAAATATCTTTAGAAAGTTAGCAGGATCTGCCTCTAAAAGGTTCAGATTAGCATGCGACAAATTTCGCATGGTGTGATCAACTGCCAGGAGTCTTGGTACCCAACGCCTTTGCTGAGAGTTTTGTCTCATTGCAAGATCTTCCGTTAGAACGGAATGCACTCTTTCTTGTGAAATCCCAACTGTACTGGCTATATCTCTCTGTAACTCACATGTCAGTCATAACAATATCTTGGACTATTTCTGTGGTTACAACAATGACAGACCTCCCAGAATGGGCGTCATCCCCAAGGCTCCTCCTACCATGCTTAAATTCCACCATCGACCTTTTCATTGTAACATATAAAGGGGCATCATTCCCCAGTGTTGCTACCATATCAGTATGGATATCCTTAGGTGCTAGACCTTTCTTATGCAAATATTGAATCGCTGTGCTTTCAGCGATTTTGTCCATTTTGAAAAAGTCACCAATCTAATGATACCAGTCTTGGGTACACTGCCTTCAATAGTCAAGCTGTTAAAAGACATCCCTGTCTAACGTCTTCAATACAAGGCTCACAACTTATCAATCAGTCCTTATAGATGATAACATGTGTAAGCTTCATAAGGAGAGATTAAGAGAATGTTTGTCATTTTTCAACAACACATGCACATTTGTCGTTTAAATCCCATATCAAGCTTAGACTCAAAAGAATACATCAGAGTTACTACTTTCAATAAAATCATTGTTTGATATTAATTATGGCCCATGGCATGGGATTGAAAATTAAAAAACAAAAATAATTACAAAAGACTAGAAAACTGAATATTGAACAGTTGATAGCTAACGAAAGCGTTGGACAAAAACGTCTGTATAATATGTTATTACAATATATCGTTATTCCTTCAGATTTGTCAAAAAAATGGTTAGCATCAATGGAACATATCTGAAGTATTTTGTGGATGTTTATAAAACTATTTTTATAGATGTTCAGATAATGCTATTTGGACCATAACCTGGTTATCTTTATAGACAGGTAATGGTAATATACAGATGTCCTTGATAGACAGGTATTGTTATATACAGATGGCCTTGACAGACAACATTATAAATGCTCACTTTGGATGTATGTAACCAATAGATAGCACGTCCTTCGAAATTACTGAACAGGTGTACTCATATAATAAAATGTGATATTTTTATGCAACAGATATTGTTGAAACAAATTGTAACACTAAATTTTTATAGTAATCATGGAAAGTGGTTATGTTTTGTTTGTGATTTTGAGCATGGG